AAAAAGGACTGAAAGCTCCTTTGAGCTTTGGGGAAGCTGCAGGCTTTTTGAAGCTGGAGCTGGTCTTTTGGGGAAATGGGTGGCATCTGGTAGTTCAGCATCCAGCATTCAGGCACTTGTACCAAATAACTACTCGTATGTAGATGGATGAATAAGGGCCGGGTAACCGCTACAACCACCAGCTAGCTAAGCAGCCGTGGGCAGCTAGCTAAGCACCTCCATACCTTGGGTAGGTAGCTTCCCTAGTAATCTAGGTGGTGATAGGTGGCACCAGGTGGCAATTGGAGGGGGCGCTAGGCGGTACTGGGGGGTTTGTTGCTTGTCGCCCAAGAGCCTAGCCTGCACCGAGTAACTAGAGCAACCCTGGTGGGGCCAGCCACTTTGTCCACGCCGCTCACGTCATCGGATTGCATCAAAAGATCGAAAGATCAAAAAGATCAGCCCATCAAGTTCGCTCTCCATGGAACAAAGCTGAGGCGTCAAGATCGTCTAAACAATACGCGTCTTTCTTTATTCTGAAGACCTTTGGCACCGCGGGGTACCCATTACGAGAGGCGTGGGACGTCCAGCCACCACCACCACCACCACCACCACCACCATTGCAGCATCAATCTGCTCAACAGGCTAATATTGGCCGCTAAAGTTACGGGTTGGTATGTACTGTAGCACCGCCACCGTCCCGGCTAGTCTGTCCTGGTGAAAACTAACCTCTACAGTACTACAAGGTGCCTTAGCTAGCACCGCGATCAAATGCCCGTCACGAAAACCCTGCAGGTGCAATAAGTGCTGATCCGTCCAGCAAGTGAACATCGGTTCCTTTCATTCGCGGCAAGCTTCCTTTGTTCCTGGCCGATCTCCACGAGGCACATCAGAGACCCACACATGGTCAATGAGCTTGGATAGAAAAGGTATACTCGGTAGGTACGGAGGACTGGCTCGCCTCTTCCTTTCCTGGGGCTGCTCCGCCGTCTCAAACAGAATGCGCGACGGTTGGTATTCTCCTTCACCTGGAAGCGTGACATGCTTCCCCAATTATTCTGGTTTCGTGTTGGATCCCTGCCATCGTTTTTTGCCATAGCGTATTATTTTTCCCGTTGACTCCGTTGTTCTGCTGTCTTTATCGTCGTCTACCCTTGGTGCCTCTGCTGTGCCGTTGGACGTTTACTCTTCGTTTCTGCGGACCACCGTCATCTAATTCTTCGTCCAGGTCATCCTCTCCAAATGCATCGTCTTCGCCCTCATAATCTTCATCCTCCGAATCGTCGATTTCGACATTTGCAAGAGCTCGCACCGTCTCCCCCCCTGAGCTGTCCGCCTCTTCGTCATCGTTGCTCGGACTTGACTCAGTGCTCTCGGAAACCTCCCTCTTGCGCTTTTGCACTGGCGCGACCACCGGAGACTGGCTGCGCTGCTCTTGCCCAACGTCGCTGCCCTCTCCTGCAAGCATATTTGTTCCTGTGGTTCGTCCTAGACGTTCATGAGAAAGAGGAATCAGTGCTCTCTCGTTAGATGGCTTATCTCCTGGCTCCCAGAAATTCTTGACATGTTCATCACTGTAGCCGTATTTCCACAGCAGCTCTTCTCCCGCCCGGATATTACGTCTCGCAAACAATCCGATCCGGACCTGCCCACTGCACAGGAGACTTTTGGGATCCACGTTGATGAACTCGTCTTTTTGCGAGTTGTTCATAAATCTCATTTTGTTGCCGACAACTGACGCATCAATCTCCTGAAACGCGTTGAGATTGAAGAGGTATTCTTGATTTTGAAGATGGTAGAGTGAGCCTCTTCTGTCGGCCTCCTGTCTACTGACCACCTCACCAACATATTCGCCGATAAATTCGCTCCTTGGAATGCTGGTTACGCTGTAAAGCCCGTAGCCCTGGACCTGGCTGGGCGCCTTTGTTGTCTTCGCAGGCAGGCCCAATTGGATCCGGTTATTTCTGCAACGACCCTGACGATTGTCGACCCGGTACTTGTTGAAAGAATCCAGAACGTCAAGCACGCCACATTTGAGGCAGAGATGGGGATCGCATTCACGATTTAACTTCCAGCATTCGCACCGGGCGTCCTGGAAGCAAGTCTTCTTCACACTGGCTTTGCAGTTGCACCCTCGAAAACGCCGTTTGCATTCGATGTCACACCCGCAAAACCATTCGCAGTGTACCTTGGCTTTCGCACATGAGCATGCCGGGTTGTCCTGGCACGGTCCTTTGTGGTGACAAGGAACGAACGGTTCACGCGTATGTAATTCTGCGCTGTTCGATACATCGATTATTGGCACCCGATTCTTCTTGTTCTTCTTTTTCTTTTGGTTGGGTGGTACCGCGCTTGCCTCTGGTTGAGCAGGACTGATCTCGGCATCGGAGAGGGATGGATCAATAGAATGCTTGACTCGGAAGATGGAGAAAATGATATGATTGAAGACCATCATGCAGCCCACGTCCTTGACAACTCTCGAGATCAGGCAGGGGCCTCGTTGATTGTGGAGATAGAACCGCATAAGACTGTCGACCGTGGCCTTTTGGGACTGCGACAAGAATGGCTGAAATTTTACCTCTGACACCGTGATATCACGCCGGTTATTGACATCCCAAAAGCACGACGAACAGCAAAACTCGTCATCCGCCAACACGGGCCTCACGTAGCTTTCTGGCATCCGTTTGGCGCCACCGACATATCCTTCGGGTTGTCGCCCTAGTAGCTGTCGCAAGCCCGTCGACGGGTCCACGCAGAAGATTCCGCATAGATGGGTGTCGCCTTCGACGCTGAGCTTGGTACTCGGTCGTGACACAAACTTGCGTATGTTGCGATCGGATTCCGGATCATTGATGAATGCTCTGGGTGTTTCCATATCTTCACTTTCGTCCGAGGCTTCCTCATCCAGAGCTTCCTCACCTGGAGGCTCCTCATCTGGGGATTCCTCATCTCGGGATTCCTCATCTGGGGGCATCTCATTTGCGGGCTCCACATATGCGCCATGATCTGGGCAATTATGGCGAAAACAGATCAAGCAGAGGTCAGAAGTTTGCGCTGAGGCTGTGAGGGAATCCGGATACCGGGGTTGTATTATCCCGCCAAAGGAAATATGCCACAAACTTGACCCAGCCTGCTCATGAAAGGCGTAGGCCAGCAGGCCTGCGAAAACAAGCCTTCGATCATCGGGCCGTGGCAGACGCTCGAATTGCTCAACTAAATCTCTCTGCCGACTCTCAGGGTCAGCTAGGCCGCACATCTTACACCGACGCTTTTGCTCTTTTGTCCATGCCTGGCGGGAAGCCTCCGGCCAATCGAGCTCGATCTGTCTGTCGGGTTCAAAGTGGTCTTGCACATAGAAGTAAAGAACATCACTCCTCTGTATTTCAAGCATGCTGAAGACATCTTCGATCCAGGGCTGCCAAAGCCAGACTAGTTCTTGACACTTGCGCTGTTTCGCCATGCCCGGAAAGTCGATCTTGTGTCGTTCTTCAAACTCTTCGTACTTTCTGCTGGCGTCTGGATCTTCGGTCTCGTCTTCCATGTCGTAGGCTCTGTGATTCGCCGTCCGATAGTTTGGTGCAAGAAAGCTCGCGTTCACCCTGCCAACGGACCGGAATTTTGGCAACATCGGCGCCCCGCCGCCAAGGGGCTTCGGAGGAGCCCCTTGGAGCTTGCCGTCGTGCTTTGCAGATGGTCGCCGGTCTTTCCCAGCTCTCTGCCTTTCCTTAGTAAGCGTCGCGACAGGATCCGGAAGATAGTCCTTTGTAGACGGTCGCCGGTCCTTCTGAGCTCTCCGCCTCTCCGCAGTAATCGCCGCGAAAGGATCTGGACGATTAGGGTCAAGGTCGGGACCGGGATATTTCGCCTCGTCGATACTGATCTGCCGCAGAGCGGCCTTGACGGCTGCCTGCTGCGAGGCGCGCAACTTTTGGTGGCAGCTTTCCATAAGCGATTTGAAAATCTTCACGTGGGGACGGATTGTCCCTCCTCCTGCCGAGCGTATCGAAGACCCAGACGAGATACTTCTGGTGTCCGAGGACCGGTCATCCTTGCTCATGCGGGACGAAGCCTTGTCAATATTTTCTTCCCCCATTTCCATCACGATGTCCTCTTGGGACTGCTGACCACTTGGCTCGTCCTGTTCGCTGTGTGCATCTCGTGATTCCGCTGGACGAAATGCAAGCCTTAGTGGCTGTCCTTGTATTAATTCGGGGCTGCTTGTCCCAGTCCCTTTCTCCTCATCTAAATCGCCGGACACGCTCTCAGACGACGACCGGTCCTCTCCACGACTCGGCCTTTCGGTGGCTCCTGCTGTTGTAATTTCAGCCGGCGTTGCCAGTTTCGACATTAACACCGAGGATGGAGGTCCCTTTGTGGGGCCTTTTACCCTTCGGTAGGAGCATGCCACTCCGTGTTCCTTGCAGAGACCGCAAATCGGTGACTGACCGTCGCACTCGAAGCCATGCTGTGCACAATTATCGCAAATGACTCTATCTGACACCTCTGTTGGGCGATGTCGAAGTGGCTTTGCGTTGTCACTAGGAGTGCCGTCCTTTTGCTTGTTTTGCGTAAGAGGCGACTTATGTCTGTCTTCCCTCGAAGGAGAGGAGACGGCGAATCTGGATGATGATGGTGATTTTTCGTGATTAATGGTTCTCGATTCAGGAGTTTTGCGAACTGTTGACAGATCAGTCTTCCTGAGTTCGGAAAGTTGTTCACTGGCAGGCATAGAGCCTCCAGATGGAACGAAGCTCTTCCTAAGAGAAGTAGACGGCATGGTCTGATTATCTGATAGTCCATCAGGAGGCCTTAATGCTGCCGGCTCTTCGCTTACTTCGCGAAGCCGCGCAGTAGCAGAAACTTGAGTGCTGGGAAGAATCGTGGGTAGTGGAGGTTCCGAGGGACCTGCCCCTGGCAAATCTGCTGGACGTGCCCGCGCTTGCTCTGGGCTAACTGGGTTTGAGTGTACTGCTGAGGGTTTTTTTGGCGGTGGGTTGGATGGTGATAAATTAGCTGGCCACTTAGAAGTCGAAGGCAGCCGCGGATCCCTCGATGGTTTTGGTAGGAGAGTTCTTAGGGGATGTGGTGTCGACCTTGTTGGTGGTGAAGGCTGTGTTGACATTGCGGACAGAGGGTATGGCTTTGAGACTGTCTGTAGATGCCGCCGCCCCATCCCGAGTGGCATTGATGAGGAAGTGTGTGGCGACCTTGTCGTTGATGGGTTCGCAAGAGTTTGAGACTCCAGGATAGGTGCCGGTGGCATTGGTGTCGGTACCTGTGAGGAAAGCGATGGCGGTGGCTGTTCTGGCATCATTTCCTGTGCTATATTCAACGGCTTTTCGGTGGTACTGTTCCGCGTTAATCCTTGCCTTACAACTCGAGGGCTTCCAACGGGAGTTTGATCACTCGGTGACTCCTCGTCCGAGTCAGATAGCACAATGATCTCGGGTTCGTGAGCCGGCGTCTTCTTGGTTGCATGACTTTGCGAGTGATTGAACCGTGTCTCATGGCCAGGTGCCTGCCTCGATGAGCCAGAAGACCTTGAAGAGGAGGCAATTGAGGAGCGAGTGTATTTGTCCATCTTGGACCAGCAGCGAGCGTGTCTCTGATAATTCAGAAAGCAAAAAGTGAGGTCAGGATCACAGCCTTAGTATTTTGAGTGTTCCGGGCTTTGCTTGAAATCATTCTGTGAGGACGATGGCGATCGACCCAGCTTACCGAGTAGTTGAAGCCGAATGCCACTTCATACAAAACATTCGCGGCAGCTTCGGCTCTAACATTCAATCATAATTGTATCAGAGTTCACGACATGATTGTTGACGCAGGTACGCAGGTAGATGGTACGCAGGTAGATAGTTCACATGGTTGTCGATTTCTTGGCGGTTTAAGTGCGGGGCCATGACTACCTACTACGCGCCAGTACGGCTGCCTAATACTAGCAACTTGGCGCCTTGGGTACCATTGCTTGGCGAGGAGAAAACGCCAAGGAATAATCTTTCGCCCTGGGTATAAGTATGAGTTCCTCATCCCTGCGTCTTCGACGCCGTCTTCTCTTTTTTTTTTCCCATCCAAGTGCAAGGGCAGTACGCAGCTCATGAGGTTTTGTAAGTTTCCCACCAACAAAGTCCAACCAAAGTCTTTGTTCATATCATCAAGACTCCAATGCTAATGTCTATGTTGTACAGAAACCGAAGCTGTGTTTTTTGCTAGTTGAAAACTACCTACTTGACCACTCCATTCGGCCTTCGGGTCGCTTGGGAATATTTGGAACCATAACTCTTTACCTTTTCATCATCTCAGCGCCTTGAGCGAAGATATGGAGAAGAGGACAAACACACGAGAGTGGACCATACGGCCAAAGCTGGAGCAAGGACACTGGAAACTGGTAGTGAACAGGCAAAGGCAACAGCTGCGATGTGGCAGAGCTGGATGAGATTTGAAAGCAGGACACTGCATAGATACCGTGTTATCAGTAGCATGAATTGTTTGGGACACTTTGACCCTGTCCTCATCACCGTCGAGAAGAAGAGGGTGTCGTATGCCTGACTTAACTGCGGCTTGGAGGGATGATAAGCACATCCTTGGTGGTGCCTCTATGCCGAAAAGTATGAAGCTCCAACTTCCCTCAACCTACACCCTTCCACTTCAGCATCACTCACTACCCGCGGCCACTTCCAAAATGCCAGCCGCGCTCGTCACGGGTGCGTCTGGATTCCTGGGCCGTCAAGTGCTCAAGGTCTTTTCCGATGCTGGATGGAACGCAACCGGGACAGGCTTCAACCGCGCATCGGGGGCAGTCCGCAAAGTGGACATCCAAGATGCAGATGCCGTCACCAAATTGTTCGACGAGGTCAAGTATGAGAGTACCTCGTTATAGACCGCGCGATTTAAAGCTTACAGCAACAATTACTAACACAAGGCTCTCAGACCTCAAGTCATCGTCCACTGTAGAAGCCGCCTCCTCTCCCTCACTGCCAGAAATGCTACCTGCGAAAGTCACTTATAGCTAACATGCCACAGGCGCCGCGGATAGGCAACCAGACTCGTGCACTCAGAACCCAGAGGCAGCACGCAGACTGAATGTCACAGCGACCGAACTCCTCGCCTCTTGCGCTGCCAAACATGATGCCTTCTTCATCTACATCTCCACGGACTACGTCTTCCCCGGCGTGCAGGGTCAAGCGCCCTATAAACCCACCGACACCCCGAAACCCACCAACGTGTACGGCCAGACCAAACTCGACGGGGAGACGGCGGTCCTCCAATTCCCAAACACCGTCGTCTTGAGAGTCCCCGTGCTGTACGGCCCGACCTCTCCCAGAGAAAACAACAAAGAGTCAGCGGTCAACATCCTGGTGGACAGTCTGTGGAAGTCGCAGAATGAAAAAATAAAGATGGATGACTGGGCGATCCGCTATCCCACGAACGTCGAGGACGTGGCCCGGGTGTGTCTCGACATCGCCAGACTCTACACAACTGCACAACACCCGGACGAGCTCCCACGCATCCTGCAGTTCTCCAGCGGGGATCGCATGACAAAATACGAAATCACCCAGAAATTCGCCGAGATCATGGGTCTCCCCATGGACGGGATCGTACCTGACAAGGACGGAGGGAAGCCGGGCCCGGATGGCACGCTGAGGCCGTATGACTGCCACCTCGACACGGGTGAGCTGCAGAAGTTGGGGATCGATGTCTCCACGGTGGATTTCGTGGCCTGGTGGCGACGCTGGGTTGGTGCCTATCGACATTAAAATGGTGACGAGGGAGCCAAGAAATCCAATGGAATATGAGCTTGAAGATGGCCGCCTCGGTAGGGACTTGGTGATGTGTACCATGCTGTAACGGCGTGCCGTGGCTATAGCATGACGGTCAAGAGGATTAGTCTATGGTCGAAGTGGGCTATCGACGACGTACATAGATGATGTTTCTTCGAGAAGTAACACAGTCTCTACACCGACCTCTTTACTCTATGCTCTGCATAAGTCATCGTAGTGTGGGATGAAAACTCAATGAAATGCCCTCTTGATGGCCCTATCTAGGTTACTCCTCTGGCTAGCTGCGCTATTATGCCTCTCCATCTGCAAACACTGCCACCGCAGCCCGCTCCACGCGAGGACAAGGTTGAAGACGCGGTCCCGATCCACAGGGCTTAAGAGAATCGTGACACCCGTGTCGTTGTCGTTGTCGTCATCGAGGAAAAAGAGCTGCAATGCCTTGGCGGAGCGCGAGTGCAGGTGTTTGAGGTTCTTGAGCGTAGAGTCCGAGTGCACGTCGACGCTGTCGAGCTTGCGCATCTCGGAGAGAGAGGCGAACGGGTAGCTCCGGTCTTCTTCTCCATCCTTGGAATCGAGTGCGAGACCTGTCCTGCTAACTACCAGGCGTGTGCGTCCTTTGGCGTTGTCGTAGATTCGGAACGCATAGCCTCTTTCGCCCAGTCTCTGCAGTGGAGGAGACTCGCTCTGGTCTTCGTCATCGTCCTCATCATCTATCCCTTCATGGCCAGAATCGTTGTCTCTCAATTCAAACTCTGTCAAATCAGCCTCGTCCTTCTCTGCCGCCTTTTCTTGCAGTCTCAGCACCGCCAGTTCCGCGTGTGTGGGAATGTCCCAAAACACCCATCGGAAATGTGACAATAACAACCTGTATCTGGGAAAGTTGGTTGCGATGGGGTACGTGAGGAAAAACGCACCGCCAAATACGAACCATACGAGCTTGACGCAGAATGCCATGTCTGCACACAACGTGATGAGAAGACAGCAAGCGAAAAAGAAGAGCGTCGCCAGCGTCATGTTCGGCCGTTCCCACCTGTGAAAGTTCAACAGGATCTCGAGAAAATTCGCCAGATCACCGAGCTGTAGCTGAATAGTCGGGCCAACCTCGTCCAACAACGGTTCCAGCCAGTCATGCTGTCCATGTCTCTGGATAAGTTCGCCCCATGCTTGTACGCGCGCTTCCCGGTCAAAGGCTCTGCTCACACTATCTCGCACCGCCTGTACAGAGCGCGGGCGGAACCTGTTGCGCAAGGTGGAGTAGATGATGTAAAAGTAGAGGTAGCCCACAATATGTTGGGTGTACCACAGAACACAATAGAGAGCCAGCCATTTCGCTGTCCGAGCGGGTGATTTCCACATGTAGATATGTCGGACGTCGACAAGAAAGGACTGCCAGGGCGCTGATGTGATGGCAATCCGTTCAATGATGCGCGTGAGGTCTTCAAGATCAAACGGTGGGGAATCAAAGTCGTCGATGTAACCGGTCGTGAAGTTGCGGGTGTAATAGAGAACCATGTAGCCGAGATATCTCTCCCACTCAAACCTTTCCCCATTTCTAAATTGAGACCGTTCGGGACGCGATATCGGACGAACAACCTTAACACGGGAAACGTGTCGCCCAAGTATCCAGGCTGTCTGCAAGCTTTCTCTTTGATGTTCAATCTTGTGTACGCGATGATGGGCTTCATCCAGCTCGGAGGGGACTGCACTGGTGTCAGCATCCGACGGCTCACTCGAAACTGCGCGAGCCAGAGCGTCGTGGGCATCTAGAAGTTCCTGATCTTGGTCGACAGTCAGGGTCGGATGGCGTTTTCCAAGTTTCCCGGCGGCAATGTGAGTAGCTTTGCTACGCAACACCCGTCGTGGGTGTGTGCTCAGATATTTGACGCTCTTAAAACCATCATGGAGTGCCTCAGTCGTCGACTTCTTCTCTTTTGGTGATGTATTCTGAAGCACTCTCGCAGGATCGAATGCTGCATCTGAAAAGATGTCCTCTTCGTCACCAGAAGACGCATTAGTCTGAGCAGGGGAAAGCAGTTGTTTTGTCTTTGCCTTTGCCCTGTCTTTCACGTGGATGGCACTGTCAAGAAGGTGTCCAATATGGTGCTCGGTCTCGGCCACACTGTCTCTCGGACTCAAGGACATATTAGTTGTCTACAGCTAGGAACTCGAGTGGTCAGCATAGGCAAGGCAGAAGGGCTCTCTGGGGAGCTACATGTCAAGGTAACCATAGTCTGAGGAGCTACTACCGATGTCTATTTTTCAGCCACAGCAGCAAACACCAAGTAGAAAGTAACCCGCAGGGTGGCGGCGATTGTGGGAACCAAAATCGGATCATTGTGGCGCCAGAGTGCACCATCTTCGTTACTACACCTCTGGCAACTTGATCTAGGCCATCTATTCCAAGTTTTTGGCTGTTCAGGACGGCAGCACCGAAAGAGAGTGATTGGGTGGATGGGGAAAAGAATGAACTAGACCGAAGCGAGATCTCAAAGGTGGTGGGAGATCGATACCCGCTTGTGCCCGCCACTGACGATAGTCGAGGACGACGGGACGATGGTGATTGAGCAGATGGAATTGAAGGAATGTTGAAGCGAGCGAAACAAGAAAGAGTGGCACCAATGGATCGTTGATCGTTGATCGCAGTTTGATCGCAGCGGACAGCCGACCAGGGAGACTAGATATGCGGGCTGATTTGAGTACTTGACCGTATATTGCTACGTTTGCGCACTCATGTGATATCAGTCAGCTCCTTCACTACACCTCCACGACCTCTCAATTCTAATTACTTTATGCAAGCAACATGCTCTTCTCGTCATTCTAGAACTAGAGAGATAATCTCACCTTACCAGCTACACTATGAGACACAAAATCAGATCAATGTGGGAAATCTCACATTCACTTCGAGGAGGCCGTCCTCGTAAACGACAAAGACCCTCCCTGCCTACAAACGCGTTGGTCACGGGCTCAGCAAGTGAATCGAAGCAGGTGAACATGGGCCTATGTTGAATGTGTTCTGCCTGACCTCCAATAACAAACAAACAAACAGTCAAGTCTTGATATTGTTCTCTTTCCTATTCATTTTCATTCACTACCACCTTGCAGGTACCTGTGTTGACCATCCTGTCCATGACCAATGCTTTGGATTTTGTCTGTTTTCTTTGATCCTTATGTGCTAGCATTCTCTGTCGCGTGTCAATATGGACGACAATCCACCTCCGAAAAAGAAGTCGCGCTTCTTCAGTAACGGCAAAAGTAAAGTTGGCAGTATCTTGCACCCGTTCCGAAAGGAGTCGCAGACAAACGACGCGACTTCGCCAGACAACAATACGGACGACAATCCTCAGCCTGATACTAATGGCCTCCCATTGCTGTCCAACGTTCAAACTCCTTCCGTCGTGCAAGCATCAACTCCAGCCCACCGACAGGCTGATGATGTGACCTCTGATCTGGTGGGTCAAAGCCAAACTCCAAAGTCCACATTGAATGGCTCCGTGGTCCAGGCAGACCCTGCGGCCAATGATCAACATCAAGTTGATGGACACGACGACCCTCCACAACCTTATGTTACAGACAGTGAGGCTGAAACAGACTTGGAGACGAGCTCTGACTCTGAAGGTGATCAACATAAAGAGGATGTTGGTAAGAGCGACCAAGAGAATGTCACACCAGATGGAACTCAACAGGCAGACTCAGGTATACCTGATGAGGATCAAACAAGTTCAAGGAACAAACGCAGAAATGCCATCTACGGCGTCGAGGCTCTTCTCCCATCTGGTCCACAAAGCTCGAATGCACATGGACAAGGGGCTACTCCAAGCTCAAACCCAATCCTGACACCTCAGCCCCCAGGTCCCCTGGGAAATAGCTACACTTTTGGTGGTGTCCCTACCAACCCTCATGTTGTTCCAGCTGGCGGACAGTATGCATTCAACTTCCGTACGTCGCACATGGTGCCCACGTCATCAACCGTGCAACGAGCTGGAAGTGATGGCCTAAGCCACCCGCTGGGTTCTGGTCTAGCACGAATCGCACAGCAAACCGTCCATGCGGATACTGGTCCCCTCCGACAACGAAAGGAGTCACTGCCAACAGACCCCTCGACAACTGTCACCGGTACTTATGTGGACATGGACAGGGACGAATACGGTCGTCGGCTTCGAAAATTCCCTTCACGCATGCCACGTCCCCCGGCTCATCACGGCATCCATGTGACCACAATTACACCACCCCATCTCGTGAATTCAGACTCCCTCGTCCCAGAACATATGTACACGTCGCCTAACCGAATCGAACACGCCCAACAATTCGCTCGCATATCTCTCAAGCGTAAAAGACCCGAAGCGATCCTTCCCCCTCCATCATATGTCTACCAGCACACGGGTGACCCGAATTTCAGCATCTTCCAGGGCTTCCTGCTCTACCCCGAATTATGCTTCACCCTGGCAGCACACCTGCCCGTCAAGGACTTGATTAACCTGTACGCGATCAGTAAGGACTTCCATACCATTCTTGACACGCGGTTCACAACTGTGATTCTCTCACAAGCCACCGCCAAAGCCCCCGAAAGTGCCCGGGCGTTTATGTTCCGCAGCTTCGCACATCTCTGCCGCTCGGACCCTGCCGCGCGCCTCCCTCACCCGAATGCCCGTCTCGCAGCACACAGCATCCCTCGCCGGATACCTTCTTTCCGATGGCTCAAGATGATTATGCACCGCGAAAAGGTCATCCATGAACTCATGACCGTTTTTGCCGAAGACGGTATCCCTCTCCCGGCAAGATGTGCGTTAGCACTCAAGAGACTGTGGTTCATGCTTGACATCCCCGACAATGCTCGGCGCATCGGGTACTGCCATAACCGGCACATGATGACGGACTTGGACCTGTACTTCTCGGCGTGCTTCTTCACGAAGTTGGACATGAGACTCAACGACCCTGTTTCTGGAGAGAAGAGAGATGGGATGAGAAAGCTACTTCTGACACAGCGTGGTTTCACCACTATCCTGCGGGTTCTAAAGCGTGATATCTGGACCACCCGGTTCGACGCGTTGAGAGAGTGGGTCAAGTGCAAATACACACCATTGCCGGACGAGCTAGGGATGAGCATCTTTGGCATTCCGCCGCACAGAATTGGTAAGGGACGGCTGGAGTACTGGGGTCTCCGGAGCGCCCATCAACTTGGTCGGCGGCCGGAGATGCTTTTACGGCCAGATCAGTTGATCATCCGAGAAGCATTTAGGCGCGGGATACGCTTCGACAAGCACTACCTCAAGTTCATGCTGTACGGATACGTCCGCCCGGACACGCTGGAGGACTATGCGCCGCGCACATACGGCCGGAGGATAGCTGAGATCAAGGACGACGAGTATGAGGTTGATGACGTGATCGGTGGTGTTGCCGCTCTCGGCGTCGACGATGAAGGCTTCGATCCCCTCCTGGATCTCGGACAGCCCAGGGACGTGAGCAGGTTTACCATCGTCAAGGAAGAAATGTCCACGCGGGAGAAGGGGTTGAGGCAGGCCGAAGAGGAGCTTTTGAAGAGCTGTCACGAGTGGTGGGCGCGCGAGCAAGAGCAGAACCCACAAAGCCGGAAGTAGAGGGAGGAGTGTTGCTGGGGATGGGAGCAACGAGACCGAACTGAGGTGCTGGGAGTTTTCACATGGACTTTGGAGATGACAGTGGGTTCCAACACTGATGGTAGAGTGGCACAGCCCAGAGGATTTTTCACACCACGCGAAAGATTCCCACGTCTGCTTACCGCCCAGCTACGCAGCCCTCGGTACCGCGGACAGTTAAAATCACGCCGAGGTTACATGGGCAGAGGAGAGGAGACAAAAGGCAGACGAAAGTCAGAGTGAAACGGGAAGAAAAAGGACGGAAATTGAGATGAGAAAATGAAAAGTAAAGAAGCTCAAAGACAGGAAGGCAGAGAGACAGAAATGCAGACAGAGAAACCAGACAGAGAAATAAAGCGCTGACATTGAGATATCCTCCCCCGTTTTCTCACTCGTTCATTTTGAAATCCAAGCTTAAATACAGACCGTGTACACCAGGTAGATAGACGGGTAGATGGACACGACGAGGTCCTAGATTTAGATGTAGAGGTAGATGTAGAATAAATACGTATGAGCAGCACAACACTGCACAGCACAGTACTCTACATGGTATAGTGGAGCAAAGCATCGTATAGTACAGTAAGATATAGCAGCGTATCGCCCGAGTGTGAAAAGATAATAGAGTTCATATGTTCCGGGTGTCGGAGCCTCGTACAGAGTGTCTACCCGTACACGCGGATACATGTGACAAACTACTTTTATCGAGGTGTTGAGAAACAGTAACAAGGGTCAACATGTCGAGGACATGGTGGGGAACTCAAAAATAGGAGAGTCGAATCAAATAAATCCAAATCAATCAAATCGCTTGCTCTAGAACAATAACAAACATTTCTGGTTCTGGTTCCGGTTCCGGCTGCGTGCAACATTACATTGACCCAAACTCCTTTGAATGTCCGCCAAATAGTCGTGCAGCGTAGTGGTTGGAGCATCTCTTTTGAGTGTGTAGGCCAAGGAGGAGTCTCAATGCATAGCTTGTTCTGGCAATATCGTCTTGCTATCACCTCGAGCGACGAGCCTCCGAGGTCTGGCATCCTCCATAGTCTTGGGCCAAATGTTGTTCAAGGCGGTCACGATGAAGAGACTAGCACACAGACACGGCTGCAAGTATCGCGTAGGCAGAGACAGGGCGTGGTGTACAAGTAGTCCTTCAAGGTGGGTAAGAGATATCAACTGGACTCGTGACTCTCTTCATTCTGCACTCGTTATGAGCCGAAGATTGTAGCCACTGTTGCGCTGGAACTCCCCACCATGATGTTATCGGGCACCAAGATGCACGGCGACATGGTGCAAAGTATCGCTTTGAGTAGTGGGATAGAGCTGTTGAGTCCGGCCTCCGGTTTTTATTGATTGTCCAAATCCTCTAAGGCACCGTCCATAGCCCGTCGTCCGAACTCCCCATATGTACAAGAACATGTTTAGTCGCGATCTGCAATGCATTATTGATAGACACCTTGATCTCGGTAGTCATAACGGGGAATATTGATGTCGAGTCAGCATTTAGTTTGGAAGACGTCGTAAGGTGGAAAGGGATCGGACTCCGCCGTTCGACAAAGCGGTTAGTGTTCTCCACACTGGATGGATTCACCCTGGCTAGGTCCATGTCCAAGGGCACATTGTTCATACGACGTTCCACATTTTGGATGTTGATCAAATACGCATTTGGGAAATTTTGCTGAAATCGTTGATTCTCTGCAGAGAGATTCTCTCTCACAACGGGCGAGCCTAGTGCGTTAAGGCTGTGAATTCGGCTTGGACTTCATGTCCAGCTTTGCGTCCGATCCCACAAGGGTCTTAGCCTCGGACGATAGCACGGTTTTGATATCGTCCTTTGGCTGTGAGGGACTTGACCCATCCATCTCTGAATGTGTGTAATCGCCCGGCATCTCTTGCGGGGCTGGCCAGTGCGCATCACCTGGAGCTTCGACGGCCATCACTGCTGACGGCATTTCCACTGGGACTTTCTTCTCGTCGGTTGGCATTTCGGCTGAATAGGGAGGTGCAGCCATTGTATTGTCGGCTTCAAAAACTCTACCGACCTCTCCATCTTGTCGCTTCCGGCGGTTGCCCCTGACCACCAAGAAGACGATCAGGGCGACAAGTGACAGGCCCCCCACAGCCGCAGCAATAGCGATGCCAGCTTTGGCGCCCCCAGAAAGGCCTGTGTCGGTGTTGGAAGAAGCAGACGTCGACACCGGAGAAGGGTCAGGAGCTCCAGAGGGAACCACGGATGGCTCGGCCGATGTTGCAACGGAAATGCTCTGGCAGTCGACAGAGAATTGACTGACGTTGGTTGTGGTCATGCAGTCGGAGAAGGCAGCGAGGAACAAAGTCGTTGAACTGCAGTAAGCGACATCACTGCCATATACCGTGACTAGCAAATATCAGCATCCCCCTCAGACATGTTTGGTAACCCTTCCTCCGCACTCACCTGCACATGTCTGATCCAAACTGGTGACCATGAAACTAAGAAAACCCTGCGTGTTTGTCGGAAAAGGTGTACAAGTACCATCGTCTGGACCTGTCGTCACAGTCTTGAATTGAGAGCACTTGTTGTCAGAGTAAAATGTAATGTTGGACAAGGCTATGACTTGGTGAAATTGTAGGGCAGACCACACAAGCGTGGTCATCAGGCTGAGGAGCTTCATTGCTGCAAAGGAAACTTCAGAGAAACAGGCATGAAAAGCAAGGAGAAGGGTTAGAAAACGAGTGTGTTGCTTGCACGCAAGATCAAAAGAGGGAAAATGGAAACCGGACCTGCGGTGTGGGAGGACGAGCAAGACGACTTTTGTGATTGTGACAAAAGGCCGCAAACAAGTGAGGCCCGGGACAACGGCTGGGAAGGATTCAGTCTCGCCAAAGTAGCTGTGAAACGTCAGCCAAAGTAAGGACCAATGCGGCATAAGCAGATGAAGCGAGATGGTCTGACGACGAGTAGTTACTGCGGTCGAGGAAGCATGGCAGGGAGATTTGGCTTGCGGCCAAGGCAGATGTTGCAAAGTTCGCGCTGGTGATGGCGGATGAAACGGCGACGATGGATCAACTATTGGTCAACAGGATCAGCCCAGCACACAGGTCGTGGACTCGTAGAACACCAGCTGAAGGGGGCGAAAGTGTCCTGGGCCACAGACAAGGCCATTTGTTTTTTTGTCAGGGGCCACAGGCTGAAGGCACGAAGGATGAATTGACGTAGATTGATTCTTTAGGCCTGGACGAGGTGGAGCGATTGCCAGGAACGGAAGTCAAATCTCGGTAGTGTTGCACAAGTCTCTTCAGGAGGTCGGCGAGCCGGTCAGCCCTACAAAATGACGAGCCTCTAGTCGTCTGTGGGCAAAAGAACGAAGTAGGTAAGAAAGCGACGGTTGTGGACAAGCGCAGGATGGGTGCAGGCAGGCGGGCTGCTGGGGCCAGCGCAGGGAGATCGGCATTGTAGAGAAGCGGTGGTGGTGAAGGCGCAGTCACTCAAATGACAGTCAAATGACAGTTGGCACGCACGCAACCAGCCCTGGTGCTTGTGGAGGGACAGGTGACGGTCAAATCTCGTCTTCATGGTTGAAAGGAATCAACTCCTTTCCCTCTACAATTACATATGCGTGTCTCGTACGTAGGATGTGCTTTGTAGGCCAGCTCGGACAACGTCATCCTCCTGTGTTTGGCCAGCCTGGGTGCACGTGAGGACTATAGTAGTGTTACTCGGACGCGCACGCGTGCCTCCTGGCTCACTCCAACAGACCTCTGGCTTCAAAACGCCAGTTGATTCAAATGTCCGGGTATCACAACATGCGTGGCCTTTTCTTTCCCTTTCCAAATCCTCCATGACTTCCTCCAACGCCTTGCTGTCTAAAGGTACATTAAATGCTTCAGAATGCACCCCTGCACATGGCAACCCTCTGACTGCTCATAACCCGGCGACATCTCCCTCAAGCACTGCTCTGGCGAACCGCGTGTTCCCCGAATCCGCGATCCTGCCTCCAATAACTTCTCCAAGCTTGTCAATTAGCTGGCTCCGGGTGGTGGCTGCAGTTTCAGCTGAGTGTCCATTCATCATGGGGATGTCATCGTCTACCAGTGTCCCGAGGGCGTTCAGGATCGCACTGACGACCTTTTCTGCCTCGGCCTTCTTCATGCTTGACTCCTGGATATCCTCCTCCAATAGCTCCCCATACGCTTTGACATTGGGTAGTATCAGCTGCCGAACCACTTCCGCTCCCCCAATGGCTTTTAATCCAAGGATGGCGCCGTAGTGGCTGCCATATGGCTTCTTGGGATCGAGGAAGGTCTTCAGGCAGGATCGCGCTAGACGAGGTTTGAGGTTATGTGAGTATTTGGAGTATTTGTTGCAGAGATGGCCCAACAGGGACCCAGCTAGATCGCGGAGGTCGTAATGATCAAGTGCCCCAATGCCAGTGCCCAAAGTGCGTCCAATCAAGCAGGTCAGTACCGGGGGGATCATTGAGGCAACCTGTCATCCCAGTTAGCCTACAGCCCACGCAATCTGCTATTTCGTTATAGGGTACGCACGTAAGGGGTCAAATTGAGTTTGTCGTTCCGGGTCAAGGCATCCGTGAGCATCATCATCTGCGTGAGCACGAATAGATCCTTCAAGTTGTGCGTGACCTTTTCCGCTACAAATTGCACGAAATAAGGCACCAGCTGATGTAGACCGGGGTCTTCTTTCAGGCTGGCCAACCCTGCCGCGCGATACTCCGGTTGTGTTTCATCCAGCACTGACGCGCAAACCTTCTCAAAGTATAGCTGTAGTTCTTTGGAGAGGATATGTTTGACCTGAGGTTTCGTCGTGGTGGTGTTGTCAGCACCGCTCATCGCAGCCAGGGCAGGGTTTGCATTCGGCCCTTTGGGGACTAATTCGAGATTCCTTGCTTCGGTCGAGGTCGGGTTTTGAGGTATCGAAGGTTGAACACCCTCCACAGCCAGCCAGTGAGCTACATCAAACACAGGTCAGCAAATGCTCGCACGGGTCCCTTAGCCATAACATTTCCCACGCACCTGTGAATGTGACTTCTCTTGGCACCTTGGGGAGAGGCGCGTTGATGAGCTTCTCAAAATCCATCTCTTCATCCTCCACGTAGAACAGCGGTTGTCCTGGTCCCAATGACGCCTCCCCATATTTCAACGGCCGAGTAGACTCATAGCCATAAAGAGGTTCGATGTCCAGCACGCGCAGTGCCTGTGAGATGTCTTGTGACCAGAGGATGGTTCGGCGGGCATGTTTCATGAACTTGAGGGCTTCTTGTAGGACTTGGGAGATGCGGTATTCGACATCGCGACACAGCGCCTGGTTGACTTCTTTGTTCAGATTCAGGATGCCCACCGATTCGGCGACATCTCTGACCGTGTCTTGCCCCCAGAGTGTCATCTTGTGGTTCTTGAACTGGTCAGCGGTCGGAGGTACCGAGGAGAGAAAGTGGGAGAGGCGGAGCGGGCGAGGAGACAGGAGACCGAGTGATTATTGATCACGCAGCGTTGCTGGCCATTAAAGGTTTGACAAGGATAAGAAGTGATATAGCATCAAGGGAAATTCTCCGACTGCGAAGTTGTCCCCAGGTGCACCTGCAGTGGGGTGTTTGGGTGTGCAGTTTGTACTTTTTGAATCTGGACATGAAATAATATGGCGTAGAGGTCCCCACTGCTCTCGCCTGCGCTGCGGACCAATTATCACACAGCCAACAAATATACTGCTATATTATGTGCCTCTATCGTTACACTTCATACTCGCTCTTTTTCTTCCCCATCTTCGTACCAGATACGATGACTGGGACTCGCCAGACACAAGTCAACGAGTTTCTCATACTCCATCTGAGACTCGCCACACCAATCTGGCACCGCTGACCTTCTTCTCCCGTAACATCTTCAACGCCTTTTCCGCCCTCTGTAACGTTGTTTCGCCTTCGACAATAACCTGCTCATTTGCTTCGATAATACCTTTGGCGAGACATTCAGGCATGATTTCGCTCTGCAGATGTTCCGCCAGGAACTTGTTCTCCAAGTAATAGTGCGTTCGAACGCCCACCGCTTGCACTCCTTGCGGCCACCGGGCCGCCTTGTTTACATCCATCTCGTATATCGGTTGCACTCCCTCAGCGGCGTCTTTTACGATGATTGGCAGGAGAATCGCGACTTTTGTGCCGGTTTGTGGCCTCACAATTCGTGATATGGGCACCACGCTGCCATCCAGGCTGCCAATACAGTCGAGGATGAAATGGAACCCACTAGATCCGGTTTGGGCATCCGTGAGGGCGGTAAGTTTCTGCTCGATTCCTGGATCACGATAGTCGAAACACTCAGCTGCGCCGTAGCCACGTAATTTCGTATGATGCTTCGGGCCAGCCGTTGTAACGATGTTGCCATATCCATACCACTTCAAGATTTGTAAGGCGTACTGTCCCACACTGGAACTTCCGCCCCAAATCAATATCCACGAATCCCTCTCCCTTGGCGTATATCCCTCCGGTTTCGGCCAGGGCAATTCGAAGCCGAAATCCTTTGTAAAGGTGTGCCATGCGGTCACAAAGTTGTTGGGGACTGTCACTGCCTGCTGCATTGTGACATTGGGGGGAATCTTGCCGAACAAGAACTCTGGCGCAACTACGTATTCCTGATGTGCTTTCTCGGCTGGGGTACGCCAGGTGAAGCCAAAGACTTTGTCCCCAACCTTCAATTTGGTGACATCAGGTCCAATTTCAACGACAGTGCCAGCAACACCGTCGCCTAATATCTGCGGATGTTTGACCAGAAGTCCGCCGTCAGCTTGGTGTAAGTCCAGGGGCGTCGAGGCAGTCCATTCACATCGAACTCGAACTTCGTTTGCAGTTGGTGCTGTAGTCGGGACCTGATGCACTTCCAGCGGCAGACCTGGGCCAACGGTCACCACAGCGGGATGCGTGCTCATTGTGGATGTCGATGCTAATATGCTCTTCGGGTTCTTGGTAGATGGTGGTGTGCTCGGTGAGTACGTTGCTGAAGGACACTCCGGGGTAGCGATAAAGGCAGAAGCCAGGACGTGCAATGCATGGCTTTATATACACAACATGCGGCATTTGTCTCGACCACCATGACTACAAGCACGTCCCCCATGTTTTGATCGCACTCCAATCATTCTTCCAGTTGTAGAACTCGCAGTTTGCCCATTACTAAGGAGCGGAGCATTACGGTGGGCCATACAGCCCAAAATTTCGTCCGTTGCCAAGTCTGGTGATTGAACATTGAAGACGAGTGGTGGCAAAGGTCTCCATACGTCCTGTTTGGATGGAATATTCTGGAGATATGTGCCAATAGAGAACTTGCTGTTGTGCCTTGGTAGATGCCCTGATGATCCGTGCTGCTGCCATCCTGGTTTCAATTTGCTCAACTGAATCCGTCATCGGTCGACAAGTATATTGGCTTTTCCCCGTCCCCAGAACGAAAGAGAACTTGGGGTGGACTGTGCTCTAGTCATAAAAGGTTGACTTTGGATCAAATGGCGGGATGTCCGAGGCCATTCTCATATGGGTATCACCAATTTTGATGAGTTTTTGTACTACCCAATCTCTTTCTAGTCCAGGCTCAAACACCATCAAGCACAGTCTGAGAGCGAAGATGATAAAAAACGGTCCCAGAAAAGATGATGTCAACATGAACGGCGCAGTCCGACATATCTCTCGAGCAATTTCCCGATTCTCCATAAGGTACAGGTCGTGCTTCTCGGGCGCGACATCTTTTTCGATGTCCTTTAAAATGAGGTTGAGGATGACCATGATTGTCCAATAGCCAACGTGCGTTGACGCAACAAATACGTTGACAAAGATGTACTGTTTTGGAAAGACGGGATCCATGGTTTCCATTGACAAGGTTTCGAGGCCTTGTTTCTTCAGGGCTGCTCGGAGTCTTAGATTGATAGATTTGAGGTTGGCTCTATGCAATCGCGTCCTCGCGAGGAGTGTCTCTAAATGGGCCGCATATTGGTCGGGGGGCAACTTCCGTCGAGCCTCGCCTAAATTCCGAGAATCGCGTAAAGTCTTTGGAATAAAGATGTGCTCCATGTAGAACTCCTCGGCGAGGTCGAAAATCCCCATTCGCTCGTCAGGAATGCCAGTGGCTCGCAGATCTTCATGAATCTTCTTGGCCATGTCTATCCATTGGGGCTCGGCTAGAAAGCAGGCTTCTTCTCTCATGAAGGCATCAATGACGATGGTATGGCGGTAAGCAAGGTAGACATCCCGATCCAGTCCTGCTAGGTGACGGTCTGGTCCACGAATGCGCATCAATGTCCCGGCGCCACCAGCATGGCGCACCCAGGACTGATTCGAGTCGGAAGCAAACATTTCGTAGAATGAAAGTAGAATCGTAGCAGACAGCGTCTCGGTCGACATCCCCTTGGTATCATCAGTGAGCGACTGATTGAGAAGACGCAACGCTTTGCCGTAGTATTGTCTTGATTCTTGCACAAATACATCCGTCCGTTGCGTTCGACTTAAATGAACCAAAGAGACTGCGCGAACCGCAGTATCGAGGAGTTTTGTACCGAAAAGGGCAGGTAACTGGGCCAGCCAATTCTGGTGGCTTCGCATCTGACGAGGAAGCAAAAGTGGACCGTGGCCCCCTAACGAGGAAGAAAAGGTGTTGAGGAGTTGTTCTTGTACTAGGTTGGGAGAGTAGATGGGGTTATTGAGTGTCATTGTTGACGGGATCTCTAGGTAGATTGAGTCGTCACTGAGAGGACCACCCCAGCCCGTTGTTGACATTGGCGTCCCCCAAAGATCGAAATCAGGATATATCTGGCTCTCTAGCATGTTAAAAAAGGGATTACGAGCCGGTAGCACTTGGCTGGGTCGATAGTGACGTGCTTCCAGGTCCGGTGTATTGAAACGGGTGATTAGGTCGGTTGAACCTTCGGGCGAAGACTCTGTTGACTGACTTTGATGGCTCGTAGATGGCGACACGCTGTCGGACTCGGTCCTCGACTCTGATTCATCCCCTTGACCAAAGCGCTTTCGGAGTTTTGAGCCTTCATCGTAAATCCTCAGATCGGAGTCGTATCCTGGGCAGGGTCGGTTGCCTCTGGCGCAGTTATTGCAGATTGGACGTGTCAAGTCACACCTGACTCGACGCTTGACGCATATGCGACAACCTTTGCTCCTTGGGATACCGACCATACCTAACGGGAGGGAGCAGGCATGAGGAGGAAGAGGTAGTCAGGTTCTTAGAGGGGACGCGGCGTCCTCTGAAATGGGGGCGAAGAGATGTCTCGAAAGGTGATCAAACTCCAGATGAAGGGCAATCATGCCAGCAGCATTCTTTATCATTAGAAGATGGGTCTTGGATACCACGTGTGGTCGTACAGCCGGGGGGAGAAGAGAATGGTTGATGCCTGATCAGACTCTGTCCATATCTCCAGGTACGAGTGGGTTGGAGTACCCTCGTATGAGCGGCTGTATTGAGTGATGGCAGATGGCGATGCGCCAGGGCCGAGGGATACGAGAACCAATGGACTGGTCCGAAAGGGCGGCAACTTGTCGGGCACTTGCGGGGACTCGATGGGCGATGACGACAAGCCTACCACCAACTGTGGCACAGTCTTATAGGGGTGACAGGCCCCTTGAACCTGGGAGCGGGAGAGCCAATAAGGGGTTGATCGCAGACAAGCATTTTTCCAGGCACCCACAACGGCTATTGAGGCGCAGTTTTGATTGAGGAGCCCACTAAAGCTCAGCAGCAGCAGCCCTTTCAGCCCATCCTAGTACCTAGCATCGCTACCTACAATATGTAGGTACTGTTAGAGACTCGTTATTTGCACTTGGCAGGCGTCCCCCTATGTGCCTGCATGGCTGATTCCGATGTGCGCAGCCACACCACCTGTCGATGAAGCACGAGTGATATTTTAGATCTTCAATATGAGTACCACGCTGCTAGAATCCGATTCAAACAATTCGTTTCTGTGGCTTTTGCCATCCGAATCGCGTCTCATGGTGCTGGTTCCCTGTTGAATTGACTTAGCAATGGCCACCCATGGTCCTTGCTCTGCCCTCTCGATAGTCCCGATGCTTCAACCATTCCTAGTATGCAAAGCCACGGCGCCCGCAACGAAACCACGCTCAATGCAAATGATGGTATTGGTACACCAGAAATGCTCCAGGTTTTGATCCAAACCACCATTTTTTCACTTGTCAGCTTTGACTCCAGACCGCAGAGCCTAAGCCAGACACTCTCATCATCAGTATACTTGATTTCGTTCACCCTTCCAGCTCATTCATTGGGACATCTTCATCGTCAGGACCAACAATAGCCTCTGCAACCTTCCACACCTGGATCAAGTTGTCATCCGCTGCACTGCACACCACCCAGGGAAGGTTTTTGTTCCATGAGAAATCGCTGATCCGGTTGGTGTGTCCTCCGTGCATGAAAAGAAGCTCGGGGGGTCCGTCTTCACCGTCTTCAGGATTCTGTTCCTCGCCAACTTTGGACAAGTCCCAAAACATTATCCTTCGATCATAACTGCTTGATGCCAGAACCGACTCTTCGAACGGATGCCATTCCAATGTCGTCACACTGTCCTTGTGGCCCTCAAGAACGTGCAGCTTGTCCTTGAGATTTCGCAGATCCCATAGAGCAATGGTCTTGTCGGCACTTCCAGTGGCCACTACAGTATCCACTGAAAGGTTGAACGCAATGGCGTTGATTGCATCCCGATGCTGATTCTCGCCCTTGGCAGCTGATCGGGTAGTTTCACCCTGTCTAAGATCCAAAAGTTGCATGGTGAGGTCGTCGGAGACAGTTCCCACCAGATTTGGAAGGAGGGGATGGAATTGCACATCGTTTACGATTCCCCAGTGATGGGTGTAACGACGAGCTTCGTTGAGTAACTTGTTGGTTTTAGTGGCCTGTGTGATGTCCCAAAGTCGGACTGTAAAATCTTCACTGGCCGTGGCCAATTGACCAGCGTGGAAGGGATCCCAACTGAGACCGTAACCCTCCTTGGTGTGCCCACTGAGCTCTATCGTAGGGTTAGGTCTTCCTGAAGGCAGGCCAGGGAGCTTCGATCGGTCCCAGATCATGACTCGCCCGTCCGTGCACATGGTAGCGATAATGTTCGGGTTGTCGGGCTGGTATCGTGCCTTGTTGACCTCGCCAGGGTGATCAATCTTCTGGACAATATTGAACTTGACTTCAATTTGATTTTTGCCTGTTGATCCGCCACCGTATCCACCGATTTCTCCTGTCTCTTCATTGTAGTCTTTCACATCTGGTTTCTTGCGGTTGGGCAATTGGACGCTGGCCACTTCTAGGTAGTTCGGTTGGCCTTCAGCCGTATGTGTGCCAATCAATAGACGGTGTTTGGAGTAGTCGGTGTCGCGAACCCTGTTCGCATTAGCCATAATACCACAATGGCCGAGGAGAGCAGGTTTCTTACGCCGTGACGTCTGGGAACCACTGAGTTGTAAGGGTAGGCCAATCCAGGGCCGTACTGAGGATCATATCATAGAGAAAAGGAGCGTTCTTCTTCCACGTCTTGTATTCTTCATTGATGATTTTCTGCTCGGTCTCGGCGTCTTCATTGTTGAACTCTTGTTCGCTCACTTGACATTTAATGCTGGTTAGTAGCTAGACCTGCGCTGTGAATAATGTCGCCTTACTGTTCTCGTCGTCCTCCGCCATTTTGTCAGTGTCAGAAGAGAGCGTGTGTGAACTGAAAGGGATGAAGGCGATCTCAGGACGAAAAGGCTGCGCAGGCCACTCAGATGGCTTATAGGTTCGGTGCCGCTTCTCTGTGCTCTTTGAAGCTCTTGATCAAAGCGACGCGCTGTCTCCAGACTTCAGAAACGCACTGGGACCGACGCGTTAAGTGAACCGCCAAAACAGGACTAGCTCGCCAAGACCGCAAAAGTGGCGAGGCCGTGCCAGATCTTCGACATTCAGCCTCGACTCATCATCAATCCCGCAATAAACATCGTTACCTTCAAGTAGAGGTGGTTTCTGTAGGACACGCGCCTTGATCCCTGCGCATCTGCGACCTGCGCCCTTCGCATGTGAACTTCGAGAAGTGGCAGCTTCGTATACCCTCTTTTTCACCGACTTCAACCTACGTCGCTTGGTTTTACGCCCACCGCCACCATGGGTGTTCCAAAATTCTTTCGATGGCTCAGCGAGCGATACCCTGCCATCTCACAGCTGATCGCAGAGAACCGCATTCCAGAATTCGACTGTCTTTACCTCGATATGAACGGCATCATTCACAATTGTACGCACAAGGACTCTGACTCCCCTTCTTTCCGGATGACGGAGGACAAGATGTTCATCGCCATCTTCAACTATATAGAGCATCTTTTCGGCAAGATAAAACCGAAAAAGCTGTTTTTCATGGCCGTCGATGGAGTGGCGCCCCGGGCCAAGATGAATCAACAGCGCTCTCGCCGCTTTCGTACCGCCCTCGACGCAGAGAAGGCTCGTGAAAAAGCAATTAAAGAAGGCGTGGAGTTGCCCAAGGAAGATCCGTTTGACAGCAATTGCATTACGCCTGGTACAGAATTCATGGCCAGGCTTACTAAACAGCTCAAGTATTTCATCAGCAAGAAGGTCTCTGAAGACGTCGATTGGCAAGGCGTCGAGGTCGTGTTGTCTGGTCACGAAGTTCCCGGAGAAGGGGAACACAAAATCATGGAGTATATCCGACAAGCCAAAGCGCAGCCTGACTACGACCCCAATGTACGTCACTGTTTGTATGGGCTGGATGCTGATCTGATCATGTTGGGTCTGCTGAGCCACGACCCACATTTCTGCTTGCTTCGCGAGGAAGTTACTTTCGGAAGACAGTCACAAAAGAAGTCCAAGGAGTTGGAGCATCAGAACTTCTACCTCATGCATCTTTGTATTGTCAGAGAATACCTGGAACTAGAGTTCCAAGAGCTAAAGCAGCCGGGCGCTCTTGAATTTGATTATGATATGGAACGAATCATCGACGACTTCATCTTAATGGCTTTCTTTGTTGGAAACGATTTCTTACCCAACCTGCCAAATCTGCATATCAACGAAGGGGCGCTGGCACTCATGTTCCAAAAATACAAACAAATTCTCCCAACATTGGGCGGTTACATCAACGAGCATGGTGTGATCAACCTCCAACGGCTGGGAGTGCTCCTGGATGAGTTGGCGGAGGTAGAAGATCGTTTCTTTGAGGCAGAATATGCAGGTGCCAAATGGATCGACGCGAAACGGAATGGACAAAATGCAGACGAGCCACTGACGACTTCCCGTGGTCCTGTCAGGATCTCTCCTGAACAAAAGCAGCTCTTCAAGGAGGTGAAGAAGTACTTTATATCACCTCTCAACAAGGACCCGGCGACAAAACAGCCACTCAAACTATCTTCCACACTTCCGGCACGAGATCGTAAATTTGTCCAGCAACTCGCCACCGACTTGAATTTGCAGTGGTCCACAAAGGAAGACAGCGACGGCAACCGCTTCCTTCAGTTGGAATTCCCTCCCAAGGGCGCACAGGCAGAGTCGGACGAAGAAGACGAAGAGTCGGAATTGGCCATAATGCGGGTCTTGAAGAGATATGAGAATGCGAAAATCGAAGAGAGCACCGACGAGCAAGCGCAACAAGACATGCAGAAGAAGTACGATCAAAAGTTTCAGGAATGGAAAGATCAATACTACAAGGAAAAGTTCGGCTGGGGCCTTGAGAACGAAGAGGGCTTAAGGAAATTGGCGGAAAACTACGTACAGGGATTGCAATGGGTCCTTTTCTACTATTATCGTGGTGTTGCTTCGTGGCCTTGGTTTTATCAATATCACTACTCACCGATGATTTCGGACGTCAAGAGAGGTCTGGGCGCGGATATGCATTTCAAACTCGGTCAACCTTTCCGGCCATTTCAACAGCTGATGGGCGTTCTTCCGGATCGAAGCAAGAAAATTGTCCCAGAAGTTTATCACGAGTTGATGACATCAAAAGATTCACCCATCATCGATTTCTATCCCCGAGATTTTGCACTGGATATGAATGGCAAGAAACAGGAATGGGAAGCTGTGGTCAAGATTCCATTCATTGACGAGCGGCGGCTTCTCGATGCTATGGCTTCTAAGGATGCTCTGCTTACCGAAGACGAACGCCTCCGCAATGACTTTGGGGTGAGCTTGAAATTCACGTATTCTCCAGAGGTCGACTACACTTACCCTTCATCATTTGTCGGAATCTTCCCAGATCTACCGCATTGTCACTGCATCCAAAATGAATTTGAGCTTCCGACAATGGATGGGCTGGAGCCGTATGTGGGTCTGGTGGAAGGGGTCAAACTTGGTATCGCAGCTTTGGCTGGCTTTCCGAGTTTGAAGACGCTCCCATTTACCGGCTCGTTGGGATTCCACGGCGTGAATGTCTTCCAGCAAGACAGCCGCAATGAGAGCATGATCGTCACCTTGTCAGATACCGAAACGCGAACCAAAGTGGAGTATGCCAAAGTTCTTTTGGACAGGCGTGTCTATGTCGGATACCCGTTCTTACAAGAAGCAAAGATTGTCAAAGTTTCGGACGAGCTTTTCGACTATGTCATGGCGGATGATGGGACAAGCGTGCCTCATCAGATCAGGGCAATTGAGCACTCTGGAAACGAAATCGACCAGTTCCGGAAGAAGGCAGATCGAATTGAGAAGTTCTACAGCAAGAGACTCGGAATGCTGATCGGCGAAGTGGAATCTCTGGTCCACGTCGAGATGCTCAAGGGCCTCAAGAAACTGGACGACGGATCGACTGTCAAGGAATTTGCCGAGCTTCCAGGCCTCGACACTATCCATGCGACTCAGCTTATAGTGGAAAATGTGATCAGCGAGGACATTCGTTTCATTGAGCAAGCAGCTCGACCCATCGAAGAAGAATTTCCAGACGGTACCAACGCCTTCTTCCTTGGAGATTATGCTTATGGACGCCCTGTCAGTGTTATCGGCCATGAGAACGGCAAAGCAAAATGTTTGATTGCACTCTCGAAAGCACGTCAGGTGGAGTTTGGACGCGACATTGCCCGTCAGGCAGAAAGGTTGTCACCCTATACACCTTCATACCAGGTTGCCCAGAGCCTCGGCTTGAATCCCCTGGCACTAGCAAAGATCACCTCCTCATTTTCCATCACGGTAGACGATTCCAGAGTGAACTTGGGCCTGAATCTCAAGTTTGAAGCCAAAAAGCTCAAAGTTCTCGGCTACTCACGCAAAGGCCAGAGCGGCTGGGAGTTCAGTCGAGCGGCTGTTGAACTGATTCAGCAATACATGATACGATTTCCGCAGTTCATTGCCGGCATCCACAAGAACCCGCAAGGAGACATGTTACCTGCAACAGCATACTTTCCTGGCGACGAACAGCAGGCCAAAGAAAAAGTGAAAGAGATTCAAGCATGGTTGAAAGAGATCGAGTCAAAGAGCTTCGAGAGAGTCCCGCTCGAAGCCGAGCAATTGGATTCCGAGATTGTGAAGCGCATCGAGCAAGCTGCGGACGAAGCACTTCGCTCAGAGCCTGCTCCGTACAACAAAACCATTGGAGGAGTCCCTCGAAATGCGCTTTTGAAGCCCTCGGATGCGCAATGGCGTCTTGGAAACCAAAGATTTAGTCTCGGAGACAGGGTGATTTACGTGGCTGACTCGGGCAAAGTCCCGATTGCCTCCAAGGGAACTGTTGTTGGTCTGACCCAAACCACGAGGGAAACCTGGCTTGATGTTGTCTTCGACGTCTCTTTTATGAGTGGGACATCGTTGGGAGACCGCTGCTCACCATTCCGGGGATCCACTGTGCCGACATGGTCTGTTTTGAACCTCAGCAATCGACAAGTGCTTGCTTCGTCAAAGGCAAGCGCAAACCGACAAACCAATGGCACAGGGCACTCGCCTCTCACCGTCCCCGGTTATGGCCAACCTGGCATCGGAGGCTCGGGTCAATTACGTCCAGCCGGGACTCCTCCAGCATTGCGGGGTACGTGGCGTGGAGCTGTATCTGGCCATGCATCTGGCGGTCGAGGCCAGTTGACTGGAACTTCCATGCCAATCCGGAACATGTCTGGCTCACCTGCCAACGGTCACCGGGGCAATGCGACGAATGGCCAACATGGTCGTGGTGGCCGTGCATCGATGGGTCATGTCAGTGCTCGAGGAGGATACACTATCGTGGATCGAGGAGACGCTCAAACTGGAGTTGTCCAGAACAATCCTAATTTCCGGCCGAAATCGCAGAACAATGTTCCTCCACCTGCAAGCTTGAATCAGCCTGCCACCCCACGGGGTCGTGGTCGAGGACGAGGTGGTACGTCTAGGGGAGGACGAGGTGCAACGCCGCGTGGAGGAGTGTGAGTTGACTGTGCCTACTGGCACTGCAACCCTGTATGATTAGCAAAACGTTCCTCGGTCTTAGGCAGGTGTATGATTTTCTCTTCGACGGCATGTGGTGAGCTGAGTTGGGGTTGCTAGAAGATATTAGTGAGTAAAGGGATTCAGTCACACGGAGGAAGCCGATGTTATCGCTCCAGTTGAACGATATGGTCCGGACGGTATCCACGGGCGATTGGGTGTTTCCGAGCAAGGCTAGCGATCCTTGCAAGCAATGACAAAAGCCCGCAATTTCGATGGATCCGGCACTCGTCCAAGTCGATCAGTACAACTGCCACATGCTCGAATGAAAAGTGTCGAGAATACGAGGTTGCGGAAACAATCGCCTGAAAGAAACGCGGCCCAGCCGAAGAAAAGCCATAGGTGGGAAGACTCAACAACCAGGCAGCCAGGGCTCTCATGGCTGCATTTCCACCTGGACCCTTTTGTCCTTTGTTTGCTGGTCCCTCTACCATGTTCCTGTTTCACCCTGGATGATTGTCCCTTTCCGACGGACGCTTGCGCAACAGGCGATGCACGTCATCCGACGACCCATTTGCCTGACTAACTACGGAGCATCAAGGACCTGTTTTCCCTGTTCTAGCTTCGGCGAGCTGGTGGAAAGGCCCCGCCTTGTGCTTATATGTATGCTTTCGCCGAGGGGGCGTTGTTGTCGCCAAAGGTTTACACTCACCCCCGAACTCTTCCACTTGGATTGCATCTCTTTCTCTCTCTCTCTCTCTCGCTGGGTTCTCGGAGATCGTGACCCCCATCTTTTACCGGTGGCTCTTGTTCAAGCTGATTCGATACAGTCCCCGTTGTGTTCCTGGCTGGCTCTCCACGTCCGAGTCTTGGACCACGTCAGATCTGCCCTTCGAACCCCTCAACCGAATGCGCTTGCTACCCCCACGCTACCGACGGTCAGACACGTTTTCTATGTTCCAAACAAGAACTATGATGCCACCATCCCCACAATCTCAATCCACGATGAACTACTGCCGTGCCACTGCCAAACCGTTGCCGAAGTAAGAAAGCGCGGATACAACACATGACCCCAAAGCTTCGACATTGATAGACGTCGCTGAAGCCATTCAACTCCCTCCGTTGTATGCTAGCCTTTGGGATTTTCTTCTTCCTGCCTGGTTAGGATGCGGAGAGCAAGACCCGACGCACAAATCATGCTGTGTGACTCTATTATCAGTCCCTAAGACTCCAGAAATCCGTGATACAAATCACCAAGCCTATTAACATGGGAAGAGTTCGCAGCTCTCCCACACTTGTTATCTCATGAGACCTAATCACAGATTGGCTCCGCTGCCATTCCTTTACCAATCAGCTTTATGCAGCGGTTCGGGCCAGCATCACGCTTTTCGCTTTTTCTTTGTTGCAGTGATAGACAGCTCCATTTCTCTCATCATCTGACTTGGTGGACATCACCTCCTTTCCTTTGCTGTCTCTTTTCCTATTGAGCCTTTGGTCCTACCTCAAACCATAATGGCGATTGTAATCATGACTTTCTGTCCATCTCCTTCGGTTGTCAAGTAAAGCTCTACCCACGGCTGGCTCTGGCCAAGGCAACCTCTGTTTCTCCAAGTCCAGGAAGGGATATTCAAATCTGGGAACAGGCTCCGAAAGAAGGCTCCGCCACTGCGAAGTCCCATTGGGCAAGACACGATCCGACCAGCCGGGCCCAAGCCTCATTCTTCGAGGGGCTACCTACAACCTCTCATCGAAGTGCCTGTAGTTATCGTTCTCTGCTCATCAGCATCCCGTGTAGTGGTGGCGTTGAGACAGCATCAAACATGACGGACTCGATGAACCTGATCTCAGCTCAGATATCATTCTTGGTGAGTTCTTCCGGCTGCCGCTCCGGTTATGTGTGTGTATACAGGGCTGGCAGGCATCAGGCTGGGCCTGAGTTATTGACCATCATGTTTTCTAACTCTCCGTCCACCGCTTGCGGGCTCAGGAAGCACATCTCGCGCTGATCCATATTCCCATCGAGTTGTACGCCTTGACCCTTCAGCCGATTCTCCGGCTCCTGTTTGGAGAAGACCACGACGAGGACGCGGGGAGGATTTCGTGGACCAACCGTCATGACTTTCTCAACATCTCCATCACGGCCATTGAATGCTCTATTATATGCTCGCGATACCTCGCGGACCGATTCGTGCGCCCGATAGCCGATGTCCTCAACAATGTTCACGCCGGCAACAAGAAGGGGAAGTCGACAGGGGACATCCAGATCGGAAACGAAGACTATACAGTCATCCAAGTCGATGGGCAGGGCCTTGATGCTGGCCAGAGGGTGCTGGAATTGACGTCGCCATTGGCAATGGCTGGAATGTGAGCCTTTTCGCCCCGTCATCTTGGTTGGATGTCGATGCCTTGTGATCGTGGGACTGACTCTGGAATCACACTGGCAGAAGCATTTTCTTCATCACGACTTATTTCTCTGACTATATTCTTGTTCCATTCCGGGCGCGAGGCACCGTCACCACCGCGCTTCAACAGCGAGGGTTCGTCTTCTCCAAGACCGCCGACGCCTTTGTGTCGCAACTCTCGCCGTCATCTCCCACCTTGCTCCAGGGCGGCACGAGGCCGCCGGCGTCACCCTTCTTCGACAGGTCGGCTCCCCCCACGCCGCCGGCCAAGGACATCCCTGAGCTCCAGGTGCGGACGTTCCGAAAGCTCCAGCGGAACAACATCCGGCCTCTTGTCGACCGTAAGATCCGTCTGGCCAACTGCGCCGGCAGCCGCGAGTACAGCAAGGCCAGCGACGAGCGGCTCAAGGACGACCTCCTCCAAGTCCTGCTCGCGACCGCGGCGCCCACGACGACCCCTTCGTCGAAATCGGTCACGGCCACGACGATATCGGCAGCTGGACTGAGTCTGAGCACGCCGCCACCACCGCCACCAGCGTCCGGCGCCGACCTGGACTTTGGCGCCAAATTCCTCTCCCTGACCATCACCTCGGACGAACCCATCTCGGTGCTCCTGGAACACCGCCTGCTCGACCGCCTTGGCGGGTCCCTCCTAGGCGCCAAATCCGCCGACGACGCCCTGATCCCCATCACGCTGGACCTGCGCGACCTCCCGCTCGACGCCACGGGCATTGTCTGCGGCGTGGCAGGGCGCCTCGCCCAGGGGAGCACCGACCTTCCAGACGGACAGGTCATTTTAAGCGGCAGCGACACAACGACGGCGATCGAGATTGGCCCGCGCGACGAACCCGTCGAGATCGGCTTCCTCAGCACCGCCAGAGCAGGCACCGTCATCGTCCGCGCGTCCCAGCTCGAAGAAGCCCTCGAGGCCCTCGAGTATGGCATGATGAGGGTCGTGGAGGAGGAGAGGGCTTGAGCGAGCGAGTGCGAGTGTGAGTGCGTCGCGATCAGGAGCGTTGAATAAACATGACGATCGTGACGTATGTCATGGGCCTGGCTTCCTGTTACATAACGGTCAGGCTGGTAAGATTACACATGCACGCACACAGACACACATGGAGAGATTGCGAGAAAGAGCACACATGTGTGTGTCATTGAAATTGCGATCAAGAAATAACCCTTTGTGTCCTCCCTGGAGGACTGACTGGAAACACCAAAACCAAAACCAAAACCAAAAATAACCTACAATCATCGACCTCTGCTCACTACTTACTACGAGCCACGAACCAGCACAAACGAGTACGACTTACACCTGCATCAGCATCAAAATCAGCGTCAACATCAGCAACAACATCAGCAATAGCATTACACCGGGAGAGGCAAAAAAAAGGCAATCAATTTGGGTGTCCTCCGAGACGAGGGGATGACGGATCAAGGGCAGAAACTCATGCATGGGACACGGGGACACAGGGACAAGGGGAAAAGTGAAAAGGAAAAGTAGGAAAAGAGAGACACATATATATTCATGTCATCGTGGATTCTAATTCCGATTCCCATACGGATGAGTGAGGTACATATGTACTCGGTCGGTCTGTTCAGAGATCGGTCGTTCGATTCGTACTGCAGCATGCATGGGATGGGATGGGACGGGATGCGATTGCGCTTACGGTTGGGATATCGCTTCTTTTGAGAGTGTGTGAAAAAGTTCATTTTCGTGGGCGTCTCTTTCTTCGTCTCTGTGCTGTCTGCGTCTTCTCTGCACCTTTTGGTCGGGCCTTGCGCGGGGCTCGGGGCTCGATGATGTTGTGGAGAAAAGGAAAGGGCATTTCAGGTGGGAAAAGCATGAGATCTCGGAGGGAGGGAGAGAGGAAAGGACGCAGAGTTGCCTGCTTTCAAGCTAGTATAAATGTATCATGCTATACACATACATGTATCGCTTCCCTCTCATCCAGCGCCGTAGATCTTGACTACACCATCAGCGCCTCCGCCGGCCCAAAGACTCTGTCGCGCTTGCGCCTGGCTGCCTTCTCTCCATGTCACGACGCTCACTACCCTGTCAGAGTCACTGAGGTGGACTTTGCCAACGGCCTTGCCGGAGAGAACATCCCAGGCGCGCACGGTGCCATCGCTCTCGCTTCCACTCAGGACCAAGCCGTCGTTGGCTCCGAGACAGCTCCGCAATCTGAGGCTCTCATTCTTGTACCCGTCCGTGGCTTCTTCGGGAGGGAAAGCCCTCAAGCATGTTCCGTCTCCTCGATCCATTAGCCGAATCCTCCCGTCCAGACAACCCACAAGCACTGTTCTAGCGTCTCTCGAGAGGTCCAGACTGGTCACGCTTCCGGGCATTACATCCACGGTCACTCTGCCTATGCGGATATCGTAGGATCGTACCCTGCCGTCTATACTCGCAGCGACAATCTCGTGTCCGTTCTCGGGCACCAGGACACTCGAAATTCCATCTTTGGCCTCTTCGAGAACCATCAGTGGCCGTGCATCCCGACTCTTGACGTCCCACAATCTGACGCTTGTGTCATCACTCCCGCTGACGAGCACGCTGTCGCCGTCTCCAGCAAAAGCTACGCTTGTGATCCGACTGGTATGTCCCTGGGTGGTATTATTCCCAAATCGTCTCAGCGTGCCGTCCGCAGCCTGGACGTCCCAGAGAAACACTGCGCGGTCGCCGCCAACAGATGCAAAGGTCTGGTTGTCCTGTGCGCAAGCGATATCGAGAATGGGGTAGCCGTGCGCCGAGTACTTCTGGATCGGTGTAGACGAAGGGTTGTCAGGCTTGGAGGGCTCGGTGCGGGTGAGGTGAACTTGTCGGTCTGAGCTGCCCGTAAGGATATAGGTACCGCCGAGAGAGGAGAAAGTAATGGCATTAATTGGGCCTGTGTGTGAGGCGATCTTGTTCACCAGGACAGAGGGTAGTTTCGGGACTGAAGGGCTCATGATGGTGACGCCGGATTGAAGTGATAGTCAAGTTGAGAGCAATACATGCAGGCATCCTTTGTAAATGGATAGTATGAGAGTCAATGGGCAGGGGACGAGGGCAGAAGGCCTTACCGTCGACGAAGGCATCGTCTACATCATCTACAGTGCTGTTTGCTGTCGAGCAATTGGACGCAGTGAGAAGAACGGGGCGATAGAGCATGAATGACCACCAGATGTCTGATGCGCCTCGGTTTTCTGTAACTCCCAGGTACGTCCCATTCTTGTACGCCTAACTTGCTATTTCTGCGAGGTAGGAGAACTGCGTTCAGAGTCGGCTTGGCACCTAACTATGTTGTGCTTGGCAGAAAACCAGGCACCAGTGGCGCTAGTTGATCTTGGCGACAACTAAAGTGCCTAGTGCCGTGCTAACTGACCAAAAATCTTGAGGTCTTGGCATCAACCACCCTCGTCTCCCGACTACTTAAACCTCCACCTCTCCCTTTTCTTCTTCCTCTTCTTTTTTTCCTTTCCTCAGCTCTGTGAGTACCATCTCTCCTCCCCCCTACACTTTGATCGTCTGTGCTAATTGTTGTCTCTCAGCTTTGCCAACTGGCTTAGATCAAGTGTAGTATCTGTTCTTTTCAGTTTAATCTCTGAAACGACACCACGTGTGTCTAACTTTGATTAAATTTATTTTTGCACATCGCTCGAGTCTCTCCATGCTTGCATGGAGCGTCTCAAGCACCGTGTCCGAGGCCTCACACTGCCGCCTTGCGATGCGAAACAATCACTTTTCATCATGGTTTTCTTTGCCTTGTGCAAAGCCTTGGAGAAGAGTTGAAAAACTTTGTCCTCGAAGAGAGTTGAAAAAGTGTGCCTTGCGCGTGGTCACTCGCGTTCAGATTTGATGAAGTTGGGCTCGCGGTCTTGCGCAGTGTCTGTTCGCCCTCATCGCCCACTTCACTGCTTCACCATCACGTCGCGCTCATGCAATCTCACGGGATTGCTGCCTATCAGTTGACAGGCAGAACCGATAGCAGCCTGGTGAGTGCTGGGATGTCACGACGCCACGAGACGAGAGAAAGCTGACCCGCCTAATTCCAGTCTCGCGTCACATGTAACCAACGCAGGTCCCCTCTCGTGTCTTCGACGAACCCTGCTATCCTCGCCGGTTCTACTCCTTGCCTTAAAAACGCAGTCGACTCTGGAAGTTGGACGATGCTGGTTCCATCGTCTCAAGCTGAACCGAGACGTGACCTCGATGACAGACCTCGGAGCACTGGCCTTCTTACGGACCGACAAGGCCTCCCTGGCTGGACCATAGTACTTGTCCTACACAAATCTACGACGCAAATCATGTTCGTCCTCCTCCGCCACCGCCTCTATCGTGATCTCTGGCGCCGTTACCAACGCTGCCTTGAGTATTGACTTGAGCTCACACTGACTGAGCCGATGTCCTACCCGGTGGCTGGCAGCTTTCGATGGTCTGGTAAACATGAAGATGGGGATATTACATTAGTTGGAGATGGCTCAAGATTATCCCAAGCTCTTGATTTACAGCGGGTGTAATATACGAGATATATAGGTAGATTGGTCGTTGCTGGTGTACACGTACGTGACCTTCGACCTTTTTATCCGTCGGGCGAAGTGACTGATCTGTTGAGATCGCTGATAATAGCAGTACCCTTGACGAGGGCCGCACGAAGTCCTAGGCTTGAGATAAGTAATGCATACGTACGCGCAAACCGCGCTGACCGACTAAAGGGCCAACAGAATCATCGGTACCTTGGGATATGCATCCCCTTATATTTGATTTGATTTTCATGTACACATACTTGGTACATATTTACTGCAGACACAGCTTTCGACCACCCAGCATTCCTACATATGTACATACACAAAGCCTTGTTGTTGCTGTTGCCATCTTTCATACATCCGCCCCCTCTGTGAGTTTCTTGCTCCTGATCTTGAGCGTGTCCAGCACCGACACCCAGATATCCTCCCAGTGTCCCAGCGGCGGGTCGATGCTCCGCTTGTAGGCGTCGATGACGGGCTTGTCCCAGACCAGGTCGGCCAGGTGCGGCTGCACGACTTTGGTCCGCTTGATCACCTTCCACCCGATATAGAGGAGCATGGTGTAGTAGGTGAAGAAGGTGCCGATGTCCCACGATCCGGGGAGGAAGACCGTGTAGCCTTGCAGGACGACGATGATGGTCACGAAGACCAGGCCGAAGCAGTTGAGGTAGGGTTGACACCAGCCTGGAGGACCCGACAAGAGGGGATGGAGTTAGCGACGCGATGTCTTGAAAGGGGAGGGAAGAAAGGGTTGAATGAAATCTGGTCTGGTCTGATCTGATCTGTCAAGGGCATACGTACCTCGATACGGAAGTGTTCTGCGGTCAACCCCCTGGGCTTTCAGGGCGCGGTAGAAAAAGGTAGATTGATGATTTGGAACTTTTGTCGTTATCTCAGTGATATCGGATTAGGAGCTGGGAGCTTATCGACAAAGAAGATTCACTCGTATCTACATATGTAGGTAGGCAGGCAGATATAGAATGGCTCTCTGTAATCTGCCGGAAGGGCATGGATGATGGAAGTGGCTAGTGGTGTACTGACGCATTGATGGCGGTAGAGCAAAACAGGCTCGGTCCGTGTCGGGAGTTTGATCTTCTGGATTACCCTCGTCTTTCCGTTCAATGTCAAGGCTGGGAGAGAGGGAGAGGGAGAAGAGGTGTTCTATCTGGTATCTGCACACAATGACTTTTCCGAACCCTCCTCGTTTCCGAACCCTCCTCGTTTCCGAACCCTCCTCGTGAGGATCTAATGACTCACTGCCATGGCAACAGAAGACACTATCGGTTCGCCTTCTCAAAGACAGACTGCAAGTCCAGCGACGGATCCTCATTGTCGACGACCCCCAGCACCGTCGTCGGCTTCTTGTACCCGAGCAGTGAGAGCATCTTGTCGTTCATGGTGAGCACTTTGCTCCGCGGCACCGCCAGGAACTGGTTCTCTTCCGTGCGCATGTTGCCCCGGATGAAGAACAGGCCGTGGACCTTGCGCACCTCGCCGGGGACCGAGTTGTGGCCGCCCCCGTGGTAGCAGGATGCCAGGAAGATCAAGGCGGAGCCCGGTTCCATTTCTTTTTCATGCGGACAACAACATCATCAGCTCACACCAGACCAAGGAACCACGATGGGGGATTAGAACTTGCAGGGCCTTCAGAGCAGAGAGGGAGAGGGAGACTTACCGGCAAAGCATACCTCGTCCGTCCGTGGACGTCGGGCATCGTCCCATTTGTGGGATCCTGGCACGAACATGGTGGCGCCGTTCTGCCGAGTCGTCCTCGACCCAGCAATCAGACAGCCAAACTGGCTGGCCTTTTTGAGGTCAAAGGCTTCTCCGCCGTGTCGGATCCCGTGCACGTTGTCGTCTCGGTGCAGCCGTTGTCGAGGCGCCCCGTGGCCGATGTAGAAGGTGATGCTGATGCTCAGCAGCGGGTCGATGGTGTTTTCCTCGACAATTTCCTCGCGGATCACCTTGAATTTCTCCTGTAGGATCGACGTCCGCAGTTCTTCGAGCACGGGCGATTCGGAGCAGATCTTGGCCATGGTCGGAGACTTGCCCACCAGGCCCGGGATGGCCAGCGTTTCCTTGGGGATGATGTGCAACGCGCTCTTCTCGGTCGACCGGGTTTGTGCGCGATGGGCCTCGACGTCGCGGTCCACGGCGGCCATGTCTTCAGCCGTGGCGAATCCCGTCAGGATCACGCCCCCGTCCCGCTCGAGTATGCCGAGGATCTCCTCGATCGGGGCGCTCGCAGGGATCGAAGTTATGGAGACGGACGGTTCGTATGACGGGTCAATGGGCGCTGGAGGCCCAAACATTGAGATGCCCATCTTTTTTCTACGTGCTGAGAGCGAGGGGTCAACGGTCTCCTTTACCGGAAGGTGCTTTACAGGACGTTGCAGTGAAGAAACTGGTCAGGAAACAAATTTCTGGGACAATCTCTTCCGTAGCAGATCCCTTTGAACGAAATTTACCCTTGAATCCAAGGGTGACGTCTGAGAAACGCCACAGGGCGTGAGATAGAGGTCGAGGCTGAGCGTGTCCCGCAAGCCAGTTGTACTGTTCGTACCCAATGATAAGCCTGGGAACCCCTGGAAACGTGGGACTTTGTTGCCCGTTTCGACCCCCCTAACGGCGATGTGCGTCTCTGTAAACTGCCCAATCCGGGGAAGATGGTGGGGGCCAGGAGACTTTCAAGATAACATCGACACGGTATATGGCAGGAATAAGGACGATTTGATAGGACATATTATCACACTGTCAATAGAACGATAATTCCCGGTTTTACAGGAGGCTCTTTTGGCTGTCCAGCCTGACTCGAAGTCATTAACTGGCAGGGCGAAGAAGAGGCACAATTATCTGGACAGCATCGATTTGGAAGGGTGCCAGCGCAGTGGCCACTGCCTGAAGTAAGGGGTCCTGCTTCTTCCTCAAGTCTTCCGTCGAAGTTGAGACCTGGATGAATCTGGAGAGTGTCGAAAATAGCTGGCGTTTGTTTGCCATGGACTTGATGCTTATCATTGTTATCAAGATCGGGGGGGTATCACGTCTCTGTTCCAGGCTCTTGAGATAATCCCGCAATAATTAACTTGTTCGCAAGTGGTGTTTGGAGCGCATAGGGTCCCGACGCATTCAAACTGTCTTTTTTGCATCGATAACTCTGCCAGGAGATGGCCGATCAAAGAGTCCTGTCCATGGAGTGGATTTAACTTCCCGAAATGGCAATTTCTCTGCTGCGGCGATAAAGGCGCAAGGCTGTACACTGTAGATGCACTCACACTTGCTCATGCACTTAGTGCCTGGTACAGATCAGGGAACGACCTCGACATGTTTGTGGGTCAATTGGAAAAGACGTCGATAAAGTCCCTCTTGCTCAATCTTGGGTGACTGGTACTCGGTGTATATCCAAGACCAAGCAATGCACCAAGACCTCCCTGCCTGCCTGCAACATTCTGCAGCTGTTTCTTACTTCTCCATCCCCCACATTCTCCCGCGTTTCTTCCCCGTCGTACCTCTCCACATCAGCCTCTGTGTGTGCTCGGCTGTTCTCTCATTTGTCGTCCGTGACTGACATCCAAGCCTCGACTCAATATGGGGACTTTTCGCGGGGACTTTTGGACATCATCACCATATGCCGCTCCCAAGAACCAATGACTTGAAGATGAGGTTGTGGAGACACGACGGTGGCTGGAGCTGTGAACATCGAATATGGAGAAGCTTGGAAATGGCTCCAGTGCGATTGCTTGTTCGAGACGTGAGATAAAACGACATCGAGAGAAGCATTTGGACAACATCCCGTTTGCAGGTGGAATAGCACGACAAACACAACCCTCACGGCCAAACATCTTAGCAGCACCATGGTCAAGGCACACGATCTCTACAACGATTTTGCGGCGGCCTCACGACCGTTTCGGGCTGATGCTGATATCGCTGATGTTGAGGTTGAAGGCGAGATTCCCAAGGAACTCGATGGGACTTTCTTCAGGGTATGAGTCCCTCGTTCGTGCTGATGATCGTCTGAGGAACGCGTCGAGAATGCTGAACTCTCTCTCTCGATAGGTGATGCAAGATCCATACTATGACCGCGACTACTACCTCGATGGGGCCAAGACAATCCCCTTTGACGGCGACGGGAGTATCAGCGCGTTCCGCATCAAGGACGGGAAAGCATCTTTCCAGCAACGCTATGTCATGACCAAGCGACTGGTGGCGGAGAGAAAGGCCGGACGGTCCCTGTTCGGCATGTATCGGAGTCCCTTCTCCCATCATCCCTGCGTCCGGGCGGTGGCGGACACGACCGCCAACACCAACGTGATCCTTCATGCGAAGAAACTGCTTGCCCTGTGCGAACACGGGCCTGGATACGTGCTCGACCCCAGTAAGTCGCTCGCTCGCGGACACGCCAAACTGCTTGGTGGCTCTCGTTGCTGAACCGGGAGCAGACAGTTTGCGCACCATCGGCATTGACATGTTCCCTGGAGAAATCGATCCCAATCTTCCATTCACGGCACACCCACATGTATGTCCCTCTGTATCTGCCAAACTTTGGGGCGTCCTTTCGCTGACAAGTTTTCGAGGTTGACCCGGTCACTGGAGAACTATGCGCCTTTGCGTACGGCTTGAAGGGAATTGGGACGCCTCAGGTACGATATCCTTCGTACGCTGGTGATACAGACACAAAATCCCTTGCTAAATCCAAGGCCAGATCTCAGTGTACCTGATCGACAAGGACGGCAAGAAGACCTTCCAGCGCGATTTCGAGTTTGATCGGGACGAGATCAACGACTCGGGCATGATTCACGACTGTGCCATCGTGAGTAAATAAGCCTTTTCTTGGTCCCAGGAGAAGAAGACCTCGTCAAAGCTAATAAGTGGACCAGACGGAGAACTATATCATCCTCTGCAGAATGCCGTTCATTGTCGACACCAAGAATGTCGAAGAGCCCGGAAAGCATCAGTGGTGAGTTTGGCATCTCTGAAGGCTGACACTGTGTGTATGTTTGTACGTATTTAACCTGATCATTCCGGAATAGGTATTACGATGAAAAGGCTCCCGCGTGGTTTGGTCTTGTCCCGCGCCGCGACGCCACGAAACCCGTCCGGTGGTTTCGGTATAAAAACTGCATGGCCATCCACAGTGGTGGATCCTTTGAGGAGAATGGAAAGGTGTAAGGAAGGCCTTGGGATTTGCTTGTTGAATGTGTTGTGAGAGAAAAGCTGGCTGATCAATTTCGCGTGTGCGCCAGATATTTCGATTCTTCCACGGCCTCACACAACGCCTTTGCGTTCTTGCGTAAGTGTGATTCACTCTCTAGTCTTTCTGTCGTTTCGCTACTAACAACCCCCTCCGAAAGCCTGCCGACATGGCCCGAACCCGCCACCGAGCGACATCACCGTCAACTATATTCGATGGTGCATCGATCCAAACGCTGTGTCTGACAAGATGGAAGACCCCAGTAGGTCATTTCCACGACTGATAGACCGCATCTTATGGCTAACGTCTGGGATCGAGAGGTTCTACTGAGTGTGCCTTGCGAATTTCCCCGGGTAGACGAGAGGTTCCTGATGAAGAAACGTGAGTCCCGTCACGCCCACGGAGGACGGATCCGACCAGCATGGCTGATCAAATTGTGCGTAGCTCGGTACACGTTCTTGGACTGCTTCAAGCCCGAGGCGGGCAACGCGGCCCAGCTGTACCAGGGCCTCAACGCCCTGGCTCGCATCGACTCGCAGAAGCAGGACATTGAGTATTTCGTGCCCGGTCCGGATTGCCTCGTCCAGGAGCCAGCTTTCAGCCCGAGAAGTCCTGATGCGCCGGAGGGAGACGGCTTCTTGATCACCATGGTCGACAACATGGCTCGTCACCGGAATGAGGTGGTACGTCTTGACCTCGCACACACACACACACACACACACACACACACCCCCTACGATGTTTCACATTATACCGGGACCGCAGCCGCCTGCAGTTTGTCTCACCAAAGAGTCGAAGTGATACTAACGTCGCTTGTAGATCATCCAAGATACTCGCGACTTCCAGAAAGTCGTGGCCAAGATTGTCCTCCCTTTCCGTAAGTTTGCTGAAAAACCCCGGAGTCCGAGAATGATAGGGAGTTGATCAGTTTCCCCCGGTGAGGCTGACGTGATTCTAGGACTGAGGTCTGCCGTCCACGGCAATTGGGTCGACGCCGAGCGTATCCCTGCGACCGAGCCAAGTGTCATTCAACCCTTTGCAGATATTTACCCGGATGTCCCGACGGTGCGATTTTGAATCATGCCACCGAAGATTGCGGGTGAGGTGGTTTGTCGAGAGGGAAGGGAGGTGTGGCTATCTAGCCCTTCTGGCCCTCTCGGAAGAGATTGAGGGTTCGTTGCGTATGTATGTGTTTGTGCGCGGTACGCATCGTCTGAGAAGTCATATATGCTCCTCGAGGAGTGAAAGCTTGCTGTTCTCCTTGCATGTGGGTGGGGAGCAACATACGCAACCCCAAAAGGGACGCCTTGCTTCTGTCCGGAATAGACATGGGCCTGTATGCTGCACAGCAGCGCAGAAGTAACATGATTTAGTATGTCTACCCGGAGCTCGAGCAATAATCCAGTCTTACCCAGCTGTCAGTACGCTCAATCCTGTCTTTAGATCAAAAGAATTCGTCACATCTCCGACGTATGAACACCCGGACCTCGCTCATGTCTTCCGGTAGATCGAGCAAACCCGTCAGTTTGTCGTTTTCCAAGAAAGATTTGTACGTTACATCCGGAGTATCATCCTGGTCGTCGGTCGGTAAGGGTGGCATTATCGCCTCTTGACTAACAGCCTTGATTTGACCTCTGACGATCCCTTCGCTATGGTACCGATTACCCAGGACTTCTTCCTCGCGTAGATGTGTCGTACACGATAGATGCCCCAGTTGAAACACACTCGATGGACCCTCATCCTTCTCAATAGATTATGTCTGGACAATGTCTCTGATATATCGTAACAGCTCATCGAAGTATTCATGGCCGTCAGCGACGTTTCAATTAGTTAGATTCGCAGTCGACGTCGGTTTTCGAGTGGGCTGTTGACAGAATTCAATAGCTTTCGTCCTGAGCTCTATAGCCGTATCAATAGAACGAGAAAATTCGTGAGATATAACAACCCCGTTTCGAGCAAGTATTTCCGCTCGTTCCTTAATCTCCTTACATATTCTCCTAGTACTATAGTTAGGGTGAAAGAGGAGACCTAGTACCTTCGTAGTAGCCGGTTTATATAAAGAATAGTACTCCCGCAGCTGGCCCGTATTAACTTTAGCGGTACATGTTTCGACTGTCATGGAAGTATTGCAGGTTGTTGGTTTCTTCCATGTCGGAAGGGGCTGCTGTTCCATCCTCCACTCACAGTAAGTCGACTGGTCAAGCTGACCTCCTCAGATAGATACACCTTCAGATAAATCTGATGCACAATTGCTTCACCATTCCGTGGAGACTGTACAGCTTAAATGATTGATCTTGTGGTAGCGTAGAATCACTTGATGACCAAGAGAATCACCGTGATATCAGAAGACCCGGTCGATATGATCAGACCAATCGACGACACCAGTGAATTTTATCGATAAGCGCAGTACAAAACAGAGATAAGGTGACGGTGAGGTGACAGTAAACGAGGCCGAGTGTAAGTACCACTATGATTTCTCTCGGGGTAAGTTCTCACATGTTCTCGGTCTCGCCTCACTTTCCTTCGTGAACGACTTAGATTATCATCCTAGAGTGAATATAAATATTATTATCCTATCCTATTTTTCTTTCCCAAGTACCTTCACTACCGTAAATCCCCGGATAATTCATCTGATATCGATGTAAACATGCGCCGCGTACAGAAAGACACTGCCGAAGCTGATGATATCGACTAGCCGATTCTCTCGTATGTGATGAGCATACAGACGACGAAGGTTGGGAAAGTGCATCTACCAGCTCGTTCACTGCGACCCTTCCAACTATACCACAGCCCGGGCCATTTATGGTAGCAGACACTGTGAAATGGGACCTCGGAAAAGATTATTTTCTCGCTTACACCGACTACAAGCGTGTACGAGATCTACTTGTCCGTTGGTATATCCATTGCACTGAGAATCATCCACATGACTGGAGATGGAAGGACTTTTGGCAGGACATGGTCCATACTCTGCAACTTGAGCAATCGAACATTACCGTTCACACTGAAGAAGTAGCCAGTGACGCACAGTTTGGCAGAAGGGAGACCCCTTTTAGGAACTTAGGTAGTCACTCAATAGTAATGAGGCGGGCGTCTGATCAAATATAGCTCATATCATTCATAAGGATAGGGGTACCATTATACCCAATAACAGTCACCTTGGAGTTATCTGTGAATAGCTCCTCCTTGCTATTTCTCGGTTTGACTTCAGTAAAAATGGAGTACCAAACGCCTGCCAGACTGGACCTTCAGACCATCTGTCGATGTGGAGCAGTCCGTGGGAATTCCACAAGACGCAGATGGCGCAGAGAAATAGAGGTAGGAGCCGAGGGTCGTTAAGGGCTACATGACGGGAAACACATACTTAGCTATAGCAAGTATAAAACTACAGAAATTGTATCAATGGAGATGATGTGGAGAAATTGAGACATGAGCCAAGGGCCTTTAAGAGCTACTTGACGGGGAAATGTAGGGTCGGACATGGAAATTCTGTTGGTGTAATTTTGTCAAAGTAGATGGTGAACAGAAAATGAGACTGAGGTCGACGGTCGTTAAGGACCATGTGGTGGGGAAAGATGTGGGCGATCATATGAAGTCGATCTCTTTCTCGGAGTCCATCTCAGATAGTATGTCGTGATACATGAGAGTCTGTATTTAATCAACTCATCTGTAGCTTCCATATACAACGGGCTTAATAACGGAAAGTCGATGAGTGCCAGGCTACCCCAGCCTTGTGAAAACAACCTCGTCGACTCAGTTTTTGTGCGATAACCTCAAGAGAAAGCATTCCGCGACTGCTGTCCGGCAACAGAAACACTCTCGTCGACATCACTCAATTGCTCAAAAACTTGAGTGAGTCTCACGGCCCTGGTGAGGTTGACAAGGAATCTGTAGGAAGAGAAATGCGAGGTACTACATATTATGGCGGACGACTTTAAATGCAAGGTTGCGCCGCCAGCTCAAGGCAACGAAGCTTCAACCGATGGATGGATTGCTCACCCTGCCGCCGACGACAAGGCAGACAGAATTATGTGTGGCACTGCAGGTGAGAGAATCGCGCCTCGTCGAAAACCATGGCCCTCTGCCTTGAATCTGCTGACGTATGCGCAGCGTCTCCTGCATTGAGAGGATGTGGAGGGGAACATGGGAGAACTTCCCCGGACAAGATCCAAGAATGTGGGGCACAAACTCAACCCGGCTCTTCAATATCCAGTCAAGTCGAGGTTGATTACCTTTATTGAATGATAATATTTCCTCGGCCACGACCGGGCAACACACATAGAAGTAGTGAGGGATTGAGAAGGAGGAGGTCCCCAGCAAATACTCATCCTTCTAGACTCCAATGTGAGAGGTGGTTGGACAGATATTTACTTCAACATGCGACATCGAATTAACAAGGAGTGCCGTCTCTGTCGGCGGCAGTTTTCAAAGGCAGAACATCTCCATCGCCACATGCGCAGTCGTGAGTGATCAGGCCTGGCGGGAAGGAGGAGGAGGAGGAGATAGAGGACGAGGCTAACCACCAACTACGGATCCAGATACGGGGGAGAAACCCTTCCGGTGTCTGCATTGTCAGAAACACTACGGGAGGAGGTAAGTTACTATCATCTTTGCCATAGCATTTTGGCCATTGACAAGTCGGTCTGCGCTCTCCCAGGGATGTCCTTCGGCGACACATACGAGATCACCACGGCGAGGCGGGAGAATTCTTGAATGACGCCGGCGGAGTCGAGGTATATGAACGCAACGAAGGCAATCTTTTTGCAGGCCACGCACAAAGCCTTCGCTCTCCTAGACGAGGTCTGGGGGAGGGCCACGAGCCTCTTATCACGTCCACCCTAAAGGGATCGAACAATGTTGTCGACGAGGCCAACTCCATCGACGATCTGCCCCCCTTGGCGGGTCTCGCGTTCGAGGAAATCTTCGATTCGATAACCGACCCTGTAATATCTGCTGCTCGAATAGACAACATGATGGATGCTGCTGTCTATCCTCACCACACATCACAGGCCCTACCTGAACAGGCCGACGACGGAACAACCGAGAGTTTCAGTGTGACGGATGTTATCTCGATATGTGGAGTTAATGAGGATAACAACTTGGACCCTTATATCCACTCCTCAGACAGCAATGTCGGACAGTTGACCACTACTGAATTTTTCGACGGGACAGGTGACCAGCATCTCGATGACTGCCTGTCTCCGACAACCTCTTTTGCCCTCACCTTTACAGAGACAAGCCTTCACGGACCCGAGTTGGGCGAGCAGTTTGAATGGACTTTAGAGGAGACCGCCAAAGGACAACCGGAGTCGATTGAGGCCAATCATACGAAGCACTATTCTGGGGACGAGCGATATCAAGTTGAAATTCCAGAACCTGTATCAACTTCAGGGATCAATGGAAGGCCATGGTTCAGTCTTGCCTCTTCCCGATTGCCGAAACATCTCCTCCTCCCGAGTGAATCTGTTTGGCCCTCCAAGGTGATGGGGAGAGGACATCAACAGGCCTCGCGCAATTGGTGGGAATTTGTCATCTGCTGCTGTGAAGCCAACATCTTCTGCCGTCAAAGTGTCCATACTGCCACAGAGTCGACAGAGAGCCCGACACTCGACTCGCACGCCTTTGGCTTCAATGAGGAGTGCCGTTCACAGCTCATGCAAGCTTTCTGTCTTTCGCAATCGAACCGTCGGCCTGACATGGCGGATGTCCTGCCATCACAACAAATATGGTCTCGTGGAGGCCGTCCATCCAGCTTGGAAGCACAGTTTCCATCACGGGAAGCTCTGTCGGCGTCCCTGGGCCTCTACTTTCGTCACTTTCACCCGCTCATGCCTTTTATCCACCGTGCGACTTTTCACGCCCCCACGGCAAACCTGTCGGTCCTCTTCGCCATGTGTCTGATCGGTCTCATGCTCCTGGACGACGCACGAGCGAAAAGATGTATTGCCGTGATGCTCCCTACGGCGATTCAAACATGCAGAAGAGACCTGGATCTACACGCTCATCAGACACACTTCTCGGCCGAGGTGCTGGCCTCGCTGGCGTCCGCCATGCTGCTCCTGTGCATATGTCACATGGCCAACTTTTACGACGACACGTCTCGGTTGATGTACATCGAGGCCATGTCGCTGTCGCAGCGCCGACATCTCTTCCCGACAGACGACGGCAACGAAACCCTCAGAGGCTTGCTGAACGGGGCGAGTCAGCGGGAAAAATGGAAAGCGTGGGCGCGTGTCGAAAGCACCAAGCGGCTCTGCGTGTGTCTTTTGATGGGAGACGCCATGTTCTCCCACAAGTACGAGGTCAAGCCCATGCTCCGCTTCGAACTGCTCGAGTACATTGTCCCGGGCGACCTCGCGACCTTTGAGGCTCCAAACCAGGCTGTCTGGTGGAGGCGCTTGCTCCAGTCGCCGTCGGGGAGGATGGTCACGTTGCACACGTTGAGTCTTCCGCGGTCAATCGGCAATTACGAAATGCACGGGCTGTTGGCAATCTGTTGGGCTCAAGTCTTGGAAGGACAACTCGACCGCCCAGGCGGTGCTGTCGACTCGGACTGCGCTCGGGCGGGCAGGCATGATAGGCAGGTTGGCGACCATTCTCGCATCCAGCGAACGGCCGCCGTGCTCTCGGGCCTGTACGACGCATACAAAGACGCATTCACATCCCTCAACCCCAACTGTCTCGTGTCCTGGCACAACACGTGCATGAGCCTCGCGGCAGATCCGCTCCTCTTCCAAGACGCCGCCGGGAGGAACGGGGTCGCGCGGGCGCGGATAGCCCGCAACGCCGTGGCTCAATGGTGCAGAACCCCCACCGCGCGACGAGCATGCCTCCACGCCGCGCAGACTTTCCGCATCATGAGCCAGCGAAAGATCTCCGAAGGCATGATGTTCCAGTCGGAGACGGCGCTGTTCGAGTCTGCCCTCGTCCTGGGTCTGTACCTGTACTTGAGACCCGCCGTGCCTGGGGTGTCGGCGTGGGCGTCGTGGGTCGTCTCTGGAGGAGGGTGTGATGAAGATGAAGAAGAAGAAGAAGAAGAAGAAGAAGAAGAAGAAGAAGAAGAAGAAGAAGAAGAAGAAGAAGAAGAAGAAGAAGAAGAAGAAGAAGAGGATGATGCCCAAGGAGAAGAATACGAACTATTGGACGATGTGGATTGGACACGGATCGGAGTGCTGGGGCTGAGCGATTCAGTGGAATGTCTGGGCGACGACGTCCCACGTTCGTCAAATTCAAATTCCCCAAGCCGACGGTTCATACGAGACGGCGGCCTCACGAGCCTTTCATTTGACGGCGTCACGTGCGCCCCCGGCTTCGCATCTGCTCAGCGCATCTTCCTCGCCTTTTCCACCCTGTTGAGCCAGGTCGCGCCGTGGAACGCTGGGAGGTATTGCCCGATCCTGCGGAGCTTGAGTGATTGTAACTTGTAGTTGACCCACCAGGCTGGCAGGTTTCTGGTAGCCTGGCTGGTGCAGACGGATCGGTCCTTGAGCTCCTAATGCGCGAGATCGAGGTAGTATCATGACAGAAGAATTGTTGTAGATTTCAGTCACTCGAAGTCGGGGCTTGGTCTGGTTACGGACTAGAGTTTTTCCGATCTACGTGGTACACAAGTCGATAACTATTAGTGAGCGAACACAATATTATTTGTGGCGCTATTGCCAATGTCCCACCAATGACGTCAGTCAGAATGCAGGCCTGAACTGGGCCGAAGTCTGGGTGTACCTGATGGCACACCCTGACACCGCAAATGTGGGCAGCAATCTATAACCTGGATGAAACTGAACGCAGTAACCTTCAAGTCGTCTCTTGTAGACACAAAGTGGACCACCAGAGATTCACGTGACGGTTCTTCGCAATGGAGTCCAGGTATAAGCACATCTACCCAGGCTCATTGAGTTTGAGGCTTAACACAAGGACAGGAGTGATGGCAACGACAGGAATTCCCACTGGAACGAAGTCATGTCCATGTCTGAGCACATTAGACGCCGTGCTATGCAGGTATGAGACGACATTCACGATCCGCTTCCTCAGAAACTGGGCCAGGTTGCCAATCTCCGGCCGTCGTTGCTGACACGGCCGTGTCAAGCAATTGGTAGATGTTTTTGAGGAATACAAAGATATAGATGGGTACCCTCCGTTGTGGGGGGACGAGGTGAGCCCCCGACAGATAATGTACTGAGATTGTGAGCCTAACAAAGGACCCAACAGATTGAGTACCAACTCGTGGCATATGATGATTCAAATAAGCGGGCAAATCTACTCCTTAAACAGGAATATGTGCTCAACAAGCTGGAAAGTGTACACACGCGCACTAATGACACTGGTCCAGCTGCAAGGGTTCCTAGGTATCTTCCCCTTCTTTTCTTTCTTCGAGTACAATCAGATCTCACGATAGCTAGCAGCGGTCAAGTGGTCACCCCGGAATTCCAGCCAGAATTTGGAAGCTTCATGGTCGAGGCTACACCGGGGAAGCCTTATGATAGCAGCAGGATCGAGAGCTTGCTAAGTGTAGAAGAAAACATGCGAAAACGGTGAGAACAGCGTGACTGGCGTCGGGAGACTTCGTCTGACATGCGATATCATCAGGAGACGAATGATACAAGCATGCCTTGGGCCGGAAGAAGCGGTCGTCACCATGCCAGGGTTCCCACGCCTGGGTGCTCCAGGGCTCTACACGGAACCTGCCCTGCCCACTCACGGACTCTTGCTGCAATCACAGTTCCTTCCGGATGGATTGATCAGCACACATGACCGTTACGGTACAATCCACGATAACATGTCGGCGCGCCGTGCAGGGCGTCCATGCAGGGTCAAGATACCAATCTACCGGGACAAGAACACGCCCTGGCCATGGAAAGAGTCGCTTCAATTTCCTCACCAGAACAATGCTCAAGAGGCCGATGCGAGACAGAATCACGACAATTCAGCAGAGAACTTTATATATGGCGATAGCATGGCATTCGGACCGAGTTTCTGCGGGCTCCAGGTCACGATGCAGGCGCGAAACCTCCGGGAAGCACGTTACCTGCACGATCAATTATCTCCGCTGGGCCCCATTCTCATGGCATTGTCGGCGGCGTCACCCTTCTTTCGTGGATTTCTCACGAATACAGACGTTCGATGGAATCAGGCGGCTTCGGCGGTGGATGATAGAACTACGAATGAGCTTCATTCAAATGTACTACCCTTTTAAAAAGCCGGCTCGAGCTCATTGACTGACTACGAAAGCAGACTATCAAGCCCGCTGGCTTGCATGCACGCTGGTCATCGACGGCAATGTACATCTCTGACGACTCGCAACTTCAGCCGGCCTACAACTCACCTGAGATTAAAGCTGACCCAGCAATCAAGCGATACCTCGAGCATCACAGCAGCATGGATTCCCTGCTGGCTTCGCACTACGCCAACATCCTTACTCGCGATCCTATCGCCTTGACAAAGAACGAACTCCGATCCCACGAAAGCCTCGATCTCTTTGAGATTCTCCACTCTGCAGTCTGGCCGCATGTCGACTTCAAACTGCCCTCTAAAGACGGTGCGGCAGGATGGCGAGTTGAATTTCGACCCCTGGAAGTCCAATTGACTGATGTCGAAAATGCGGCGTTCGCGGTGTTTGTTACCTTGGTCGCCCGCACTATTTTGCACTACGGGCTCAACTTCTACATCCCCATAGATAAGGTCGCAGAGAACATGGAGAGAGCACACACGCGAAATGCGGTCCGCGAGCAGAAATTCTTCTTCCGTCTGAAGGTGGGGCGGGCGACATTAGATGAAGAAGCGCCGGGATCAGAAAATCCAGACCAAGAATATACACTCATGACCATGACAGAGATCATGAATGGATCTCTGAGCTTGCAAAATTCAAAGGGTCACTCCTTCCCGGGCATTATTCCACTCGTGCAGTCCTACATTCTAGAGGTCTTTGAGAGTGTCTCCGGTGATGATAGACGGACGATAGACAAGTACCTGGACATCATTCGAAAAAGGGCCACGGGGGAAATGCTCACACCGGCGAGCTGGATGCGACAGTTTGTGCAAGGACATCAGGACTATCACCAGGATAGCTTTGTCTCGGAGCTTGCCTGCTATGATTTGATGAAGGTCGTCAAGGCTTTGGGGGATGGGAGGATTGATCCTGCAGAGCTGTTTCTTTGTGGACAAGGGACAAAGAAGGACAAATTTTAATCTGGCTGTTTTAAAGTCGATGGTCAAACCCCCGTAGCTCTTATTGGTCAAATATAGCGCCAAGGCCCACACCGTTAGAACAGCGACACTCCCCATGGGGTGTCACGGTATTCAGAACACCGACTTCGGAATCACCCTTTTGGGCTCTTGATTCATTCCGAGGGTCACTTCGCCGTGGTTATTCGGTTAAGGCGGCTCATTAGCAAGCGTATTGTGTGTTTGTGTTGAATAATCGAATTTCTTTGTGCACACGCTTTGCTCTAGATATTAAGCTCATCTGCTCCCTTCTGACCTCTTCTTCTCTCCTACCTCGAGATCCCTACAATCTATCGTCGCCAATACCTCAGATCTCATCATGCGGGCTGCCGACCATGATTGACGCTGGACAGTGTCGCCCCGGGACGAAATATGCGACCTTTGCTAATCAGACAGGGGCTTCCGTACTCAAAAATCCTCCGAGCCCCAGTTCTTTGTGTCCTGCCCAGCACCGACCGGGAACAAATCTCGGCAGGTCATTGAGTTGTTGACAACTCCAATCCAGCAGCAGCCGTTATCGCCAACCCTCGCGTCAGGCGCCCTGGGGTTTTTGGAGGCTTCATGTTTCAGACTCCTCTTCGCGAGTTGGGGAAGAACCAACGTCACGCCAGCCACCAACTTGCTCGATACACCGACCATACTACCGCGGTTATGACTTCTCCCCGCATTCTCAAGGTCGAGTCTGCCAGATGCCTAGGCATTTCGGTGCCTGCTATGATCATTCCAAATTCTTGTACGGGGATGATGGCCGTTTTCGACCGATGCATATTCTTGGCTGTGGGATCCTCTCCCACAAACACGAGCAAAAGGTCAACCTGAGTTGCTCCACTGCCCGGAGAGCCCGCAGTTGCCACCCCTCTCAATGCGGATTCCCGCGGTTCTGTACACCACCAGCTTCAGGCATGACCAGCCTCACGATTACGAGAAAACGGGTAGGCCAAGACCATACTAATGATGCACAATCAGCAATCTTTTCCGCACAGGTCGTGGACACGTTGCCACCACGTTCCATCGCTTGTCGATCGACTGGATCATGGGCACAGGTCAGGCCAGGATGTGCTGGTGGTGCCGGTAACAAGGGGCTTTCGCTTCCGTTGATGAACAGCCCCAAGTCACGCCAGTCCATGCAACCGACAGGCTGAGAAGGGAAAAACATTCTGACTGAGTTTGGAGAAGCTTACTCGGACAGACTGACTATGGGTGATGGGTTTGGTTATCTACCCAGTGGGGTTTCCAAGCTCTCACCAAGACTTTTGGCGGCAACAAGTGACGCTCGCCCAGTGACTAGCAGCCACGGATGGGCAAGTCAAGCACCCGTATTCAACCCTATCTGGTGCTTGCTACACCTCCTAGAAGGCGTGGATGCAACGTCCATCATTCGTTCGGGTGCCAGTAATGGCGTGTGCCACGCCCTCAAATCTTATGCCACCAACATATCTCTTCCAAGAAGCCAGGAATCACAGTCGATGGAAATTGACACTGATGGAACAGTTCTGGCTGGACCGGGCGATTACCTTGACTAAAGCACAGCCTACTATACTTCTGGCCAAAGGAGCTCACTTTCGGCCCACAAACCCATACCCCGGACTCCACCGGAGCGCCCCAAACCTGGGGTCATTTCAACTTCCGGCACTCACCTGGTAGGTTGGTTTTCTCGCCCGAATGCACACTCCTTCTAGGGGCTACCCTCTTTTAGGTGGCACCTCGAAAGCCTGGGCATCTGTTCAGCTTTTGGCGACACGACAGGTTGATCCCTGCTGCTGTGCATTCATGACCAGGGTATTTTCGATCCTGTGCTCCGGTGGAGTGAACTTGACTACGCTGGTTTTGGTCTCTGGACCTCGCTTTAGTGTCTTGTCAATATATCACACAATCCCTCTTTGCCTGATCCAAACGTGGATCGAGCATATTCGAGCATAAAGGATCCAGCGTTCCCGTCATAGGAAGTCTGCTCACTCAGTTTTTCCCCCTCACTCTTTCCCAGAAATCCCTCCCTCTCTCCTATCATTCTGTGCTGCCCCTGCAAAACACCCAACATGGCCGCCGTCCCAGTCCCTGTCGAGAAAAACTTCGACATCAATGAACTCGAGCGTGCTGATACCAGCGTGTCGGCTGACTCGGACAAGCTGAACGACGCCAGGATCAATGCCTTCACCCCAGAAGAACAGAAGAAGATCATGTGGCGTATTGACAGACGGCTCGTGCTCACGTTGGGTTTTCTCTACTGCGTCTCCCTGATGGATCGTACCAACACGGGTATCGCCGTCGTCGCCGGTATGGGAGTGGATCTCGTTCTCATCGAGAACCGGTACTCAATCCTCGTGCTTGTCTTCTTCATCACCTACGTCTTGCTGCAACCTCCCGCAACGGTCGTCCTGCGGAAAATCGGCCCTCGCAGGTTCTTGCCCACCATCACCTTACTCTGGGGCATGACCATGTGTGCCGCCGGCTTTGTCAAGACCTGGACCGAATTGACTGGTCTGCGAGTGATTCTCGGTTGTTTTGAGGCTGGGTTCTTCCCAGGTACGTACTAAAAACAAAATGTTGGTGGTTCTCAGTTGGGGAAATATGAGTTATCAACGCAGAAGAACCCCGAGTCCACCACCATCATTTTTCGACCATTTTGATCTGACCACGCTATTCTAGGCTGTGCCTATCTCCTTAGCTGCTGGTATCCTCGTTACGAACTCCAGAAACGCAATGCCGTCTTCTACCTCATCGGATCCATGGCGTCCGCCTTCGCTGGTATCCTCGCCTATGGTTTCTCGCAACTGAAGAACCACGGCTCCGGTCCGAAATGGTGGGGTCAGCATTATGGTCCAACTGCAGCAGATCCGGATGCGCCATCGGGCATTCTCCCTGGTATCGCGGGCTGGAGATGGATCTTCATCCTTCAGGGTGTCCTCACCTGCGTCCTGGCCATCGGCTCCTACGTCCTGATTGTGGATTTCCCCGAAAAGGCCACAAACTCCTTTGGGATCAAATTCTTGAACCAGAAAGAAGTTGATTTCGTCGTTGCCCGGATCGAAAAGGACCGCCATGACGCCATCCCCGAGGAATTCAGACTGGGCAAATATTTAAAGTGTGCTTTGGACTTGAAGGTCTGGGGTTTCGCCGCGCTCTTTGGCCTTACAACGACAAACACATATGCTATCGCGTATTTCCTGCCTATTATTCTCAATGACGGCATGGGATTCGGTGTCGCGGCTTCGCAGTGCCTCATTGCGCCCCCATACGTCCTGGCGGCCATTGTCATGTATCTTTTCGCCTACCTGGGCGACAAGTGGCATCTTCGATCGCCATTTATCCTTGCAAATGGTTGCCTGCTCTTGATTGGTAAGTGTGATGTCGCCCCTGCACTCTTGTTCGTCTCCTAATACCTCCTCGCAGGCCTCCCTCTTCTCGGCTATCTGGACAGCGTCCCAGCTCGCTATTTCGGCGTCTTTGTCGCGACAACGGCGTGCAACGCCAACGTGCCCTGCGTGCTCACTTGGCAAGCGAACAACATCCGTGGACAATGGAAGAGAGCCCTCTGCTCGGCCACGTTGGTCGGCGCGGGAGGTGTCGGAGGAATCATCGGAAGTACGGTCTTCCGCGAGCAGGACAAGCCCGATTACCACCCAGGCATCCTCACCTGCATGCTCTCAAGCGCCCTGATCATCCTCATCACCCTGGCTTTGGATTTCAAGTTCTATCGGGCCAACCAGCGAGCGGCTGCTGGTGGCAAGGTGATCGAAGGCCTCGCAGGATTCCGCTACACCTACTGAGCGAAACGCGCCACTGAATGGCTCCCCGCAGTCTCCATATCCACTGCTACCTCGGAATATGTACGAAATTCACGCTGTTCTCACAGGGGAAGAGAATACAAAGCAGTTCGCAACCTCGTCTATACCAGCGGCAGGGGCGGAATGCCAAGAATCACGTGACGCGCCTCCGCGGACGACGGCAGGACTCGACTCGTGAGGAACGCCTTGGAACTTTTGACAAGATAGTATATACTTTATTAAAAGATACATTATTGCTTCGCACAGTGTTTCCAGAAAAAAACAAAGTGCTCAATAAGTCGTGGCAGGGGGACACAAAGCGGCCGCTTTCCCGAATGAACCCTGGCAATTCTGCAGGTGACACCCAGGTGAGAGAGAGAGAGACTTGAGAAGTCAGCAAACTCGTGGTCCTGGTCTCTAGTCTCAGACAGAGGCAAGGGAACCGATTCCCATATCCGTCGGACAGGTGTGTATGTATGTATGTAGGTATCTACCGAGCACGCGTAGCGAGCCCTCGGTATGAGATACACACGGGAGTACAAGTGCCTGTACCGAGTCCTCTTCGCGAGTCCTGGCCATGGCTGCAATCTACCTACCCACCCCTACCTAATATTGGAAGACGCTTTGCCATTGTCAGAATTCGAGCACGGGTACTCGAATGCCGGCACAAGTACGGATCCTATCGCTTACTTACTCGCCGATCCCGTCCGTCGCCCACAGCAGGCACCAGCGCTATGGATGGACCTTTGAGGACCCGTTCGTCGATGTTTTCCCCGTCTGATGGTGTGGCGGCGATTTCCAGACGTATTCGCTGTACCGAGTAGGACAGACGTATTGTCCTGTGTAGAGAAGAGAAGACGAGTCAGCGACGGGCTAGGGATGTAGAAACAGGAACTTCGTGGATGCCCTGATATACTCGTAGGAGTTCGATATCTTATATATCTAACATCGAAGATCATATATCGAGTTTCGAGTATCGAGTATTGAATATCTAGATAGAGCATCAGGAGAACGTCTGCACCACCACTACGACCCAAGTCGATAGCCCGGGCACGATACCAACAAACAAGGACTCGAAGAGTATCGTCGTGTTCATATCAAGGCTAGGAGACCGCTGTGTCTAGAGATGCGCCTCGTCACCTTTTGCAGATGATGCAGTCTTCGAGATCACTGCGAAGCGACTTCCCTTTGCTGGCCGAGTCGCCCTCCCTCGTCAAGGCATGCAATTGAAAGCGAGGTCCCAGTACTGAGGGTGGCCTGCTCAACCCCAGCAAGAGATTGAACGACAATCGCAACATCACCGGATCCGGATCTCATGCTTGCGCGAAGCGAGGACTCTTTACTCGTCTGCACAACACTCGACATCGTCCAACAAGCTCCAAAGAAGGGGTCGGGTATGGAGCCCGCAGAAGGCAGCCAGACTAGTCTATACTCTGATCTACATGCGAGTAGTGATGTTTCTCTTCCTTTGAAAAGCGTCAATTTTACCTCTGTACATTTAGTTCTAGCCCGTCATCTGCCCGTCAGGATCCAATCTCACCCGCCGGGAAGGATACGAGCCCTAACGATCCATTTGCCCTCATTCAGGAGACCAAGGAATGGCCAAGAAGACGCCTATCCTCTATCTGGAGGTATCCCCGTCAGCTTCCACACTCTATGGGTCCCGTCGAGTGGCTTTTCCCCACGTTTCTCAACCTCCGCATCCGCAGCGGGACCAACCCCGACGTGTAACCCCCCTCCATTGAACAAGCAAGGGCATCACGCAACCTGGTCATTGTCTTGATTCCGCACAAGTACCCATAGTCCTGGTTGGGCGAACCCCAGGTGCCCCGGTCTGTCCGCAGCCACCGCTAAGGCCGTCGAGAGGATCGTCCTGCGGGACCTCTAGCTTTCATGGCAGCGGAAAGCATTGACCTTGGCGAGAAAAGCATCTCGGGGTCTTCTCCCGGAATGCGATCATTTGCTTCGAAAAGATTGCCTGCTTGGACACCACCCTGCGAGGCGCATCGGATCAAAGCTGCAGTGCCAACCCAACCCTTTGCCAGGTCGAGATAGATGCCTCGGCTTCTGTTGAGGTAATGTGTACCAAGCACGCGGTATTCCACTTTTCTTTTTCTCAATGTCGGCGAAATCTAGTTATCCAAGACTTCTGTTTACCGCTGAATAGCCATCGCTATCGCCATCGTCATCGCCCAAACCGCGGAATACTATATCATTTGTCGCCTTTCTCCACTCAGGTCTTACCAAGGGGAGACACCAAATCCGGCAGTTACATTGAGGCCAAACTTGGAACTTGATCACGGTCGGGAACTTTTGGTCGGTTCATTATTTATTGGGGAAACGGGGTCTGTTTGTACTATTACTACGGAGTACTCTCGTTGGGAATCCTTCTCCGAATCGTGGCTTGTCCCAGTAAAGAGGCCTGAGAGGGCGCCGGAGGCAAACATGTACCACTGCCCGGACAATTGCCACTGCCAATGCTCGCTTTGCCCCTGCCCAGGACTACTCGTAGGTAGAGTACCCGATACAAGTAACCCCCTGCCTCAGCTCACCCTGGACAAACCCCCCCAGAAGTTGGCATAGGCTGGGGTCTGATCTTCTGGAATCCGAGTCATCTGTCGTGCATGAGAAAAATCATGTTCGTTGCCCAGGCGGGTGGATGGTTGGTTAGCCCAGACCTAGACCCGGACCTAGACTTTGGACTTCCCAACCGCCCTAACCCGGCGCAACTACGAGTCCATTGGTGCACTTACCCCCTTTGGTATACCAAGTGCGTCTGCAGGTAGGTAGGTATGTATGTATGTCTGCGGAAACGAGGTATGCGGGTACTCTCGTATCACGGTTCGATGCCGGTGGAAGGGGTGGTCATTTTCGCCGAGCACCTCACTCAGCCAGCGCCTCCGGAGAAGACGGTGGACAGGTGGTGGCTGAGAAGAGGCGGTTCGCACGCATAGCCCTTGCCCGAGTCAGAGATTGCCGACGAGGACCTGGTCATCTGTCCGTCGCCGAGACGTAGAACCTAGACGGCTCCTCTCGGAGGTATACCTGTACTTTGGCAGGGGGTCGGAGCTGGTAGGCTCGTCTGCCTGTGATGCTTCGGATGAGCTTCTCCCAAGATCTTCGCCTGCCCCAGCACTATCCGGAGGCTGATGTTGGGAGAACTATCTCTATGAGGTTTGTTGGAAGGTGGAGGTTAAGGTGGTGGTTGTCATAGACCACCCTCACAAGCACTCCCAGGAGGCCGGCACCGCACAATCTGCTCCTTGTGGCCCTTGAGAAGGTAGGTTGCTCAGGACCAGGCTGTCATATGTCCTCCTCAGAGTTCGTGTGTCCGCGCTGAGGATCGTGGATGTGGAGATGCTGTCCTTCCCAGGCGCCACGAGATGCGTCTTTGGGGGAGGCTATTGCGCCAGAAGGCCAAGGCACTTCCATCTCCACCGTCTGAAGATATCAGCTGATGGACTCGGGTATGTCCCCCTTCGCGATACAGGGCGGTCGCGTTGTTGGGAAACAGTGGTCCTCCAGCCTCATATCTGCCCAGCCAGGAGTATTGGCATCACGGTCACACTGTCGTCAACGTGGTCTGCCTTTCTTACGGCCGTACTTGTCCGCGTCTGGGGCGATATCTCGACGAAGAGAGCTCTCGTGTCTTTGTCAGTCGAGTCTCAGTCAGGAGGCTGCAGAAAACTCCTTCCCAGCTCGACCTCCCTTCGCCTCAATCCAAACCTGACCCTCCCGATCCTGGGCATCTTTTGGAGCGCCGCTGTCTCCATGCGAAGTACAGTCTCTCGCCACAGACACTGATTAGTCCAGTCATACGAGCACATCACCGCGCGCTGCATGCCTCCTTCTGAGCCGCAGAGGAGGGCAACGGTGGGCGGTCGCGCAGCACGAAATGTGGTTACAGTCCTATTATGCCAGGTTAGAGCTGCTCGAGGGAAAATTCAGCCGGATTATACCAAAGACGGGCACATACATAGTATTCGTGTCGACCAGGGTGAAGAGTCTCAGCTTCTCCCCCGTCGTCGACACCGTTCGCGCACCATCTCCCTCATTCTCGCCGGCGAGCAGAGGATCTATGCCCTCGCACTCGTCATCCAAGAATTCACTGTTGACCCGATGATGGGACATGTTGCTGGCATAAGGTGCCCACGAGAGCCGGTCTGAAGGAAACCCAAAGATCTTCATCTCAATCTTGCGCAGAGACATGTGTCCCTCAAATCCGAACAGCCACGGCTGGGTGTTCCAGACCTTGCCTCCATAGACATGTAGGATCAGCATCGGGGAGAGGAGGATGGTGATCAACGCGACGATCAGGAAGAGCGCCCCTATCGCCTTGCCCGTAGGGTTATTTGTCGAGAGCGCCACGGTGAGGACGCCAGTGAAGAACCACGCCGGCGTGCCGCGCACAAAGTACCGGGCTAGCATGCGCGACCACGTCTCTCGTGTGGTGATGGCGACCCGCTGGAATTTGTCCCAGTGGATCGTAGCACCGTACGTGCCGTCGAGGATCACAGTGTCGTCCTTGCCGATGCCTGCGACCTGGCAGTTAGGTTCGATGTCCCAGAGTTTGGCGCCCCAGTAGTCGTCGAGGTTTGTCCAGTCATGTCTCTTTCGGCTTTCCTCGTCGACTGGTCTCGTTCCATCACCGATCGCCGTTCCTGCGTTGTGGTTGTAGTATTCGCTATGGGGTAGAGAGTCGGTACGGTCCCCCAGTGGAAGAAGGCATATCATCCTCTCCAGCAGACGGTCACTGTCGTTTGCCAACGAAAGGCGCGCAAAGGCCTGAAAGGCAGAGTCTGTCTGGCTGACCTTTGGCCGTTGTCTCAGCAGGCCCATCAGTGCATAGGACAGGTCTCCTTCGAGGTATTTTGTCGTCCCTCGTTCCACGCGTCGTTTGAGGCATTCCAGTGCCAGGACGACGAGCTCCAGCCGACTCAAGGCCAGTGAGCCCTCGTAGTTGTCGATCAGCTGTCTCGCCACGTCGCCGTCGTCCCAGACCT